AGCCTGGCTTTCCTGAGACCAGCTGCTGAAAGCTAACAACTTTCTCCAAAGGGGAGCTTCATTAGTGACATGAATAGGCTGGGAAGCCGGCAAAGCAGGATGCAGAGAAACTTCCATATTGCTGGAGGGCCCATTTAACAAGCCCATGGGAAATGGTCGCCTTTAATATTTCATCAAAGGACTCGGTGTTTAAACACTACATTTCCTCTTTGGATTGTTTAATCAATGCAGGTGCAAGGACCGAGATGGAATGTTGCTTCAGCTTTTGGCAGGGAGCCAACCTCATTTTGAAGACGGGTGAGAAGGCTATTCTAGAAGGACATCCTGACTTTAAAAAATTACTCTGAAAATACAGATTAGAGGCTATGAGCTTCTTGTGCAACTTAACTCAGGCCAGGTCATCTCTCCCTGTAGCTCAGGGTTACAGAACCTCCAGCCTGGGTGCTGAATGAAGTTCTCTGGGAATCCCAGCTGAGGCTCTCCGGACATCCCCTGGCCCCAGCCCTGTTCCCCTAGACACCAATTATTTCCTGGTTTTCTGGTGTTTGGACAGGTGTTCCCCTTTCTAAAAGCTTGTCCTAAGATTTTGTGACTGGTAGTAAGATATTTAAGTGAAAACAGAAGGTATTCTGCCTTCTGGACCCTGGCTGTCCCTGGAATGTGTCTTCCAAGCATTGGAATTTGGCCCCTGGGCTGAAAGAGGCTCTGCACCCCTGGTCTAACCCATCACAGTCTGCTCTGATCAGCACTGGCTCCCCAGCTAGGGGTCTTTCCAATCATTTGCCATCTGATTCTTGTGGCTGATGATGCCAGGTAGCAAACCTCTGGTGACAATGAGAGGAGCCGTCAGTTTGGTTCTCTTTGAAATGGAAACCTGCCTCAGCTTCCAACCCAATACGTGAACTGAGGTACAGTTATCCTTATTGCTCTGAATGCTGTGATGCAGTTCTCCATCCAAAAATGCACAGGAAAAACAGGATTATCCGAGGAAGGAGCAGAAAATAACATGCTTTCTTAGTGAAGAGGGTATAGAAAAATGAATTACAGTGGGAAGATGGCTTGCAAAGAAAAATGTATCTTGGAAGCAAAATGGTTTACAAAATTTGCTGGGATCTTAGATAGATCCAGAGACAGCTGGGTATTGTACCTGTGACTGATGACAAGAGTCTGGGAGGAAACAGATAAACTGTGCGTATTATTTACCGATATTGATTACCAGTGGATTAATATGATACACGGGCTCTTAAGCAGATGGAATAATGAGCCAGATTGTCCTGAGCTGCCTTCCAAACATGCCACCGACTGCATGCTATACTGCAGCTAAACTCAGAGAGAATAGGGAAATCAAATGGGGTGGAAATCAAATCAGATGGTATCAGTGTCCCCATGAATAAGGAAGCCCTGGCATGACATCCCCATGGGCCCTGGCCCCATGGCACCAGTACAAGGGCCCATGGCCAGCCTGCCTCCCCTGCAGTTGTCTGTCCAGCAGCAGGTGGAAGGTGGCAGGGTCCTTTCTGATCTGCATTCCCTGAAGTCTCTTGGGCCCTTTGACTTCCTCACCTGTCTCTTCTGCCACAGCTCTTTGCCTCTAGCTTTTCCTTCCTTTGCATCTCACCATCCTCTGATATCCCTGAGCCCCAGGGGCACCTGAAGCCAAGCAGTGAAGGGCAGGAAAAGTCCCGTCCATCTGCTGATGCAGTAAAATTGCAAGCATGTGCAAGTTGCTGCCACTGCGAAAGGTTACCTGGCTAGAGGCAAGGTCATCCTGCCATCTCTGAGGCTGCACATGGAGTGCTGAGCAAGACTTGTGATCACATCTGTTCTTGCTGAAAACTAATTAAGATTAATGCCAAGCATCCACACTGTTATTCCCCAAGGGGGGGAAATTCTACTGGCCATTCCACTGAAGCCCCCCTGCTGCTGCTCAAAATTCATACCGCATCACCTTGGGGAAAGCATCTCAACACGAGGATCGCTGTTTACAGCTCCTGTGGAATGTACAGATCGCTTGCTTTCCCGTTGGAGAGCCTTTCCTGCGCTAAATAGATTAGGAGAACAAATTGCCAAAGATGTTGCTCTGCTTGAGACCTCTGAAAAGGGACCCAGGGACCAGAACCACCACCACCTCCACAGCCTGAGCAAGTTCTCTTCTCCTCCTCTGACACTGAAAACAAACCCATAGCTAAACCAGGCTTCCTCTAGTTCTGCCGGAGTCGACCCGTCAAGGACAGCCTGGGCCCCTTTAAAAGCTCCAAACTAGTTGGATCGGTGGCAGCCTTCAGACCTTTGCTGGAGCCACATCCGAGCCACAGCCAATTCCAGGCCTTTGCTGGAGCCATGTCCTTGTCTCTTGCTCTTGGATGCCCCCATGCCACCTACATTCCTCTCAGCTCAAGGTGGAGCTGTCCATGGTCCCACCACTTTGCTCATACACTTGCCCAGGGGCTTAGCTTCCCCGTCAGACTCCCTGGAGCAGCACACCTGGGTTCAGCACTGAATTGTGGTTTTCCTGGTCTCTAACTCCCGGTGATACCAAGCCCAGGTGTGTAAACTCTCCGTGCTGTGCTGAACAAGAACGCAAGCAAGTGCAATATGCAACATGGACACATCAGGGGACTTCAGATGTCATGGGAGCCCTTTGCTTCTGGGTGAGGGTTCAGATCCTTAAACCACAAATTCCAAGTGAGACGGAGCAACATTACCTTTTTAACAAACTCTATTTATGTGAAAATGAAAGAAAGACCAATATTAGATAGGAATGATTGATGTGTTTAGTATTACTTACGGTATGAACATCTTTTAGCTTAGTTTTGGACTGACCTTTCTCTATCCTGGGTCCCTCCTGATGTTCTGGGCTGTGAATCCCATCCCATTATTGATTCAATAATACCTGCACAGCAATAGGATGCAAGTCACGCAGAATGCCTTGGGTGACCCCCCCCCCACCCCTGCAAATGGCGACGGCAGCCACCAAGCTCAGTGAAAAGGCATCTCATCTCAAACAATGCGGATGCAACACGGCACTAGTAACCCAAGGAGAAAGATCGGCTCCCAGCTGAGGAGGAGAATCGCTCCGTGATCACAGCCTGAGAATATCCCGTCACACTGCGGGTGGGAGGCGCGGTCTGGTAACATGACACTGTGACCTTAGAAAAGGGGCTGGGAACTAAGTGAAGCAGAGCGGGGAAATTGGCAGACCCAAGTCAAGGTGCGAGGCTCCCAGCATTAGCATTGCTGATTTACCAAGCAGTCAAGGAGACCTCAGAAGCATCTTGCAGGCTTGCGGGAGGGAAGATCGGGGCCTCTTAACCAGGAGTGGGTTCAAAATAATGTGCCAGCATCCTGGATAGAGATGCTTTGGATGCTGCTTGTGTTTTTCCTTCCTTGACAGATAAGAATCCGGGTGAAGCTTCACAGAAAATTCCCTAAGGTGAAACCCTCTGGATGCTTTGGACTACACCTCTCATCAGGCCTGGTGTTAGCTATCCTGATGGGGGCTGATGGGAGCTGTAAATTTGCAAAATGCCTGGGCAGTGACAGAACATGAAGGGTGTCCACTGAAGTGCAACAAAAGGGAATTCATGTCAGCAGTTGGAAGGCGGGTGCCTTTGGCCCTAACTATTACAGGTCAAAGCAAAATCCAATACTGGGTCATGAATATATTTACTTGACTGTACAAGAATTTCCTTCCAGTTTGCGAAACATGTGAATATGCTCTGTCCTCAGTCCCAAAGTGAACACAAATGCAGTTCCTGGATAATTTGTGTAACCTTTTGAACTTGCATTCACATCCTAATAGGTGGGTTTCTGAAAATGTCCACATCCACACTCATGTATATATTTTTAGAAGTGTGCATTTGCACAATCCTGCCCAAAAGTGCATTCTCATGCGTAAGTGTATGAAAGAAAAAGGCACCATTTGCCACTCAAAAATAAAATACGCTCACTTTGGAGAACGTAGACAAGGTAGAATGAGCTTCAAGGAAGAACTCAGAGATCTTTAATGCCTTGAACAATGCATCCATATATATTCCTTGCATGTTCGTTTAAGAAAGCCTACAAGGTAGTTTTCACAAATCCTGAATCCATACCTACACTCAAGAGCAAATCTGCCATCCAATGAACCCCGTAGGTTCCAAACCAAGGAGACGACACAATGGGAACCTCAGATAAAGCAGGTGCCAAAGCTAAGGGGTCTCCTAAGTCCTTTGACTCTGCCCTGGGAACAACTCATGAAATGCCACCGCCACAGCTAAGAAGGCCCCGCTTCAGAAAACCTTCCAACAAAACTGAGGAGCCTTCAAGCTTCCTATGCACTGTTGGAGTATTAAAATCACATTTGGGTGCTTTTGCAAAACGACTTTCATTGTGGGCACAGTTGCTCATCAAGCATCCACATCCTAGAGGGAAATCGGAGTGACTAAAAGAAAAAAAAAACAACCCAAAGAACTACGAACAAGACACAGAAGGGGGGTGACTCTAGAACCCCAAAGCATTCTTTTGGATCAAAACTGAGGCGGTGCTTTTCAGCATGCCAGCCGCCCACTTTTGTTTAAATCATCCTTAAATACATTCTTAAGAAATAAAAAATGAACAAAAACAAAAACTCAGGAAGGACAGGAAGCTGCGCAGGCACCATGAGAGGTGTGCCTGGGCATTCTGGGCCCGTGAACACCACCATGGAGACCCCACACAAACCCAGTGGCAATAGCATCTATAAATAAAGCATCTGAAGAGCAACAGAGAAGAGGTGGCCTGAAGCTCCCCGAGGAGCAAGCACCAGCACCTTGGTGCCACTGCTGTGAAGGCCTTGCCCCAGTTAGTCTTTGCGATAAACCCAATGAAGAGAGATCAGAAGCAGAGTCTCTGAGGGAAGTCATGAAATCCAGGCAGGTGCCTTGGAGTGAGGTGGTCCGAAACGTCACATTCCATAGCTGAGCACCCTCCCTATCACAGGTGATGGATGTGCAAGGGTTTGGCCCCAGCGGGTGTCTTACCTGGTGATGATGGCGAGGTGGGGTGGACTCATGCAGGCACCCATGAACAGCACCACGTTCTCATGCCGCGTCTGCCGGTAGGCCATCACTTCCCTCTTGAAGGCCTTCAGCTGGTCTTCGTTGTCCCGCTCGATGTCGATGAGGCGGATGGCCACCTCTCCGTGCCAGCGACCGTGGAACACCTGCCCAAAGCGGCCCTTGCCGATCAGCTCTCCTATCTCCAGCTGCTCGAATGGGATGTCCCACTCCTGCAGGAAGATGCTGGTCTGGCTGGCTTTGCGTGGGAAGTTGCGAGCAGAAAGGAGAGAGAGGTTCATCTCCTCAAAGTCGTCCTCAGATTCCTCATCGTTGCCCTGCTCATTCTGCAGAAGGAATAAGGGTTGGGGTCATTGAATGCACTCCCAGTCCCAACCACTGCGCCGCACTGGGAATGCTGGATTGCCCACTGACTTTTGGAGCACGTGGGCTGGGAAAAAGCAGCAAACAGAGTGGCAAAGACACTGCAGCAGCAAGAGGCATGAAGGGGCAATGTTCTTCTTTCGTGCAGCCATGGGGTGTTGGACTGGGGTCTCAGATGCTGCTGCGGACATGCACATTTAGTGTAACCAGTAGCTTGCCCCATTTAACTACACACAGAGACGGAAACTGATCCCTCCAGGTGAAGATATATGGGGAGGTGGTGATGCTGTGGGTCAGACACTCCATTTGCCAACACTGGGCACATGGAGGACAGCAAGGAGGCAGAAGGTGACTATGACCCCAACAGTGCCAGGCCAAGAGGACAAGATGGGTGCAACTGGATGGCGTGCAGCTCCCACCCATCCCCGGCCACCGAACCATGATGGTCTGATGGCTTCCAGCATCTTTCCAGGGTTTCAGATACGGGGCTCAAGCTTTGCCCAACTCTACCTGCAGAAGCTGGAGAATGAACTTAAGACCTTTTGCAGAAGACTTTTCCATACGGACCTTGCTACAAATTTATTTTGGGCCAACTGCTATGAAATGCACACGACACCACAAACTATTAAACACAACACAGGCAATAGATTGCTGTAATTGCCTCCAGGAAGAGCGACAGCTCACCAGCAGAGTAAGAAAGCTGCTGAGGCTGGGCCTCTGCTGAGACCTTCATAACGAAGTTTGCCCCCGACTGCTCGCCTTTTGTTTCAGCACAAGAATAGAAAGTCACCAGCGCCTTGCGTGCGACTTACCTCAGAGGTTGGCTCCACTTCAATTTGAAGTAATGGATTTCCTTCCAGGCTTTAAAGAAAACAAACACTGTGGATTACTAAAACTTGAACGCCAGAAGCGATGCTGTTTAATGACCCACCAAGATGGGGCCATGCCCTGAAACCAAACCTGCACTTGTCTAGTTGCCTATGAGGAACAAAAATCTCTTCCAGGTGACCAGGGAGACAGAGAAACCTTCATAGAGGGCATGCTCATTCTCTTCCCACAATCCCTGGATTGGTAATGGGCCACACACTACTAATTTAAGTGTTCAGGACGGCTACAAATTTTCTTTGTGTGGGTCAGCGGTTTCTCTAATGATGTTAACAAAGCTGCCTTCACCTTAGCCCAGTACCCTGTGCTGCTCAAACTCACCTTTGGCACCTGCTTTGTTATGTTTTTCATCTCACCTTCCCTCGAATATTCTCAGGGAACATATGCCCCACCCCAGTTCATCCTTGCACCAATCCTCTGACAGATAACAATAAGTGCCATGCCTGGTTAGAGTCAGTGCAGCAAAGGGCCACAAGGATGGTGGCCAGATTGAAGGGAAAGCCATATGAGGCGCGACTGAGGGAACTGGGTCTCTTCAGCCTGGAGAAGAGGAGACTCCGAGGGGATCTGTTGCTGACATATAGGTACGTGAGGGGGTGTAACATGGAGGTGGGTAGAGACCTGTTCTCCCTTGCAGAGGAGGGCAGGAGGCACTCCAACAGAGCCAAGCTCAAGGAACAAAGGTTCAATTTGGATGCCAGGAAGCACTTCCTGACAGTTAGGTCCCCAAGGAATGGGCTTCCACTGAGGTGGTTGCAGTCCCATCGGTGAGGGTGTTCAAGGAAAGGCTAGACATGCATGCACATGGTAGGCACGTCATGAGTGGAGCTGCTAGACTCGGGGGTCAGACTAGATGGCCCGGGAGGCCCCTTCTGACTCACTATGTTTCTGTGTATGCTTCCTCCACACCCTACTCTTTATGTGCAAGATTTGACCTGTAGGATGTCCTACTAAAGGAAATCAGGATTTAACATACACAGTTCCCATTCTGCATGACGAGAAGCAGCCTGCCCATTGACTATCATTACAAGACAGTACAAGACAGTAGTCCACAGATACTGGAAGGTCTCTTATTAAGAAGATGGCAAAGGTTTGTTTGCCGCTGCCTCAGAACCAGGACTGGAAGTAATCAGGAGAATTTGCCCTGGAAACAAAAGTGACGAAGCTGAGGCTGTCCTCTGGCCACATCATGAGAAGGCAAGGCTGGGGATAGAAGACGACCACCACCAAAGAGGAGAAGGCTCCAGTCCATAAAGGAAGCCACTGCCTCGGGTTTACGAGAACTGAGCGGGGCTCTCAAACCCAGAACATTCCATAAGATGCTCGGAGGCGACCTGACAGCCATGTAACAAAAGCAGCAACTGGTAGAATGAAAAGAATGAGAGACTGTAGTAATTTCGCACAACTAACATAAGAAGAATAACCTTTTGCACCCCTCAGCACAGCTTACGAAGGAAACCTAGCTCTTTGTTATAATAAATGTCATCAAAGGAGGTCAGTTAATTGTGCCGAACAACAAATGTTAAGCTTCCTGAACATATAAATAGCTTCAGAAATTAATTTTTATTTTTTGGGAGTCCGCTTGATGACAGGCCCGTGCAAATACTGGTTTGGGCATCTATCAGCACTCTCTCCCCCACTGTTCTGGAGTCCAGTTGTTTTTTGAAATATGGCACGTTTGTGATTAAGATATTCATCTGAAATAAAATGATGGTTAGCCCAGTCAGCCGCACGAAGTATTTGTTGGCATGCATTATGATACAAAACTATGCAGGTAGGTTGATTTAAAACAAACGGTCGGACTTGCTGACAGATGAAGCATGTGTGGGGAGGAAGGGCTCTGTGCTATCAAGGGCTCCATGCTCCCCTTCCCCCAGCACCCTGTAAAGATGGAGATGCATTTGCTCCCACAAAGGCAGACCAGCCATTGTCGAAACAGGGAGGTTCCCCCTCACCACAACCTCGTCCACAAGGGTAATGCTTCCCCTTTCTCAAAAGGACCAAACAAACCATTTACTAGGGGAGATATTAAATGGCACATCTGGGGATGGATGGATGCCCCTGGAGTAGGTTTCTAGGAGCATTCCTGACCCCATTCATTAGGAACAAATGACGCACAGGCCGCTTGTAGTTCTGTTTCTTGCATCATGCAAGGGTGGGCAGGCTTCAGTCCTAGGTTTGCATAAGCTCCTTCACCTAATTTTAAAAGCCCCTGAAAGTTATTCATTCAGAATTCAGGTTTCATTCCTGGGGAAGGCAGAGAGAGAAAAGGGCAGCCTCCTTCCAGGGATGGCAGGCATCTTTCCGCAATGTATTTATTTACTGATTGCATGCGTATGCTGCCCCATAGACTAAAGGCTCCCTAGACAGCTCACATCGCAGACGTAAACCAGCAATACAGAAAAAAAAAAACCAGATAAAACAACAAAAACTAAAACCACAATTACATATTACAATAAAAAGTGCTATATAATTACCTGGAGGAACTGCAGCCTTTGGCAGAAGAGGATAAATACAATAACTTTAAAACCATAGGAGAAGAAAAATAGCTAAATGGAACTTAACAGCAAAAGTGCTGCCAAGAAATTTGAAGAGGACTGAGACTTGGAAGGGCAGCAATGAAGAAACAAAAAATGGACTTTAAGTGTGAGGGGGTTTCCCTGGAGACCAAGGCCAAGATCCTCCACACTATTGTATTCCTGATCACTATGTACAGGTGTGAAAGCTGGAGAAAATGGATGCATTCAGAGCTTTGTGAATGCCGTGGACTGACAAAGGATGAACAAGTGGATCCTGGATCAAATCAAGCCAGAGCTTGCTCTGGAAGCCAAAATGAGAACACTGAAGCTGTCATTCTTCAAGCACATAATGAGACAGCAAGACTCACCGGAGGAGACAATCATGCTAGGGAAAGTTGGAGACTGAACAAGAAGAGGAAGACTAACTGTGAGAAGGTTCCATTCCATAAATGAAGCCGCGGCCCTTGAGCGTACAAGAACTGATCAGGGCTGTGTCAAGGACTGGACATTTAGGATGGCTCTCATTGATATGGTTGCCTGAATGGAGAGATGACCTGACAGCATGTAAGACCACCCCCACCAGATTTAAAATAAAAGCGGAAAACGAAAATGCCTGGGAAAATAAAAAGATCTTCTTCTCCCGCTACTGAAAGGAACACAATGTAGGAACTGGTGCGCTTCTATCAGAAGCTCATTCTACATCTTGGATGCCATAACAGAAAATGCCCTCCTTTTCGGAGACCAGCTCAGTTCCTTTGGCAGGGGATTCCAGAGAAGAACCACTGAAGATGATCTTCAGGTCCCTGCAGGTGTGTATGGGCTAATTCCTCCCACCATCATCATCATCATCATCATCATCATCATCATCAATTTCTGTACTGCCTGCAGCCAAAGCTATCTAGGTGGTTCACAACAAAGTATAAAAAGAATGAAATATAACAGAGAAAAACATTAGCAAGAATTAAAAATAACTATAAATAGCATAAAAATATCTTTAAAAGAATAAAAAGACCCAGCCAGGAATAAAAGAAAGGCACCTGGCTAAATGCATCAGGCCCCTGAATGACCACGGAGGTCTTTAAAGGCCTCTGCAAAGAGGGTTGTCTTAACCTGTAACCAGAAAGCTGGCAAATTTGGTGCAGGACTGGCCACAGTGGGGAGGTTGTTCCAAAGATGGGGGCCACCAAAGAGAAGGATCTCCCCCCGGTGGCTATCCTCCATGTCACTTGAGGGGTTGGCACCTAGAAGAAGGCCCCAGAGGCTGAGCATAGTAGTTCCCAGGTAGATCGGGGTTGGTAGAGGCGCTCCAACAGGTATTACAATCCCAAGTTTTGTAGGGCTTTATCTACTTTATTCTAACATCAACGGGCATGCCAATATTTCATGCATTGAAGGAGCACAGAAGTTCTTATCTGTCAACAGTGGGGGTTAAAGGGTTTTAAAAAATGCAAGCACATATTTCTGTGTGCCTTGACAATCCCCTACGTATTCAAAATTGCTCCCTTACTTTGCTTTCAAACTGACTGGCACTCAGCCACCCAGTTTTGCTATTCAAAGGGATCAACTTTGCCTTTTGGTTCATCTCCAGATCGGTGTCTTATCCCCTTGCTCCTCAGGCGTGTTTGTGCTGCATGTCAAGGAAGGGGAGAAACCACCTAAGAAACATGGCATAGTTCTGCAAACTTCTGCATGCACAAATTTGGACAGTGGGTGGGGGGAGAACCCCAGAAAATTGCTAGAGCATCTCTTCCACTTTGGAAACAATCCAGAGTGCCAAAATCTCCAGTGTAATTCTGATGGGAATGATTCATGAAACATTTCAGATGCAGCTGTAATGCAAATAAATATATCACATTAAGAAAGGGAGAAGAGCGAAGTCGGAAAGAGACACCAACTTAGTAGGTGAAGCTGGAAGACTTTTTTTCAGCTTGTTCATCCTCAGTGACTTCTTGGGACCAATTTTGATGTGAGCACCACAATCTTGTTTCCAGAGTTTTGCTTGATTTACTGAGAGAGTCTCAAATTGTATCTTTCCCTTGCAAACAAGCCGTACGAGCCATTCAGTTTAACTGGAGTGGAATATATGTGGTTGCTGATTCAATTTTTCACTTACGTTTCATTGATTGTCAGCTAATCTCCCAGAGGCCTGAAGGCAGAGATTGCGGTAATAGCCCAGGCTCTGTCAGCACCAGGACTACATACATAATATTATTTCTCCTCTCAATCCTTTCTCTCCAATTTGGATTTTGAGGTTAGGCGAGGGCTGGTGCAGATTAACCCAGGGGTCACCTTCTCACAATGTAACATCAAGAAGTAAATTTGGACCCCCTGAGGTCCCTGATGCCAATCACGCTGTTTCTTGGCAGACTGGGATGCATGCTGCACTAAATCTTGAGAGATTTTTGCAACCTGAAACAAAAGGAAGTCATCCCGATGATCTGCTTCCCCCCTTACCTCATGCATACTGGATTAAAATGTCTGCTCTCTTTTCATGTGTTGCTGTCGAGAATTTCTTTTGGCCCAAGAGCTGAATTCGCTCTCAGAGGAGCTGTTGGTGCTAGAAGCTAGCAGTGGGCAAGACTGCAGACTGAAGAGGTAGGGGCAAACTATCTGGATTTTAGTTCAAAGTTCTTGCTGCTAGGTATGAAGTAGCAGGAGAAAGGTTTTAATTGGAACAAAAGCCAGCAAACCACCGAGCCATTGGTGACTGGGGGAAAGGGGGGCATGGCCTAGGGAAGGAAACATGGCCAATTGCAGGGTGGCCAAATTCGGATTTCGACCCCAGCTGGGCAATCTGCAGCCCCTGGCCAGATTTCATGCACATGTGGAAGAAGGAGGTCAGTGGGGAAGCCAAGATGAATCGAGTGGTAGAGAGCAATCATTCCAGTCCTCTGGAATGTGTGCCCTGTCCTTCCCCTGGCAGCCTGCTAGACAGGCAGAAAGAGGTTCCCTGAAAATGAGAGAGGGACTGAGAGAGAAGTAGCAGCAGACCTGTGGTTAAAACAAGCAAAGCGGTGCCACACTGTCTCTGTTTTGAAACGGTAGCTTTGTAAATGAGTAAGAATGTGGTGATCTGTATTTGAGAGGAAGGAAGATGGTGGCAGAGGGGGAGAGAAGGGGCTGGTAGGAACTGAGAGAGAGGAGCGGGTGGCTGAGAGAGGAGCAGGCACGGAGAGGGGTGGGAGAAGGGAGCTAGCCCAATACTTTTCTCTCCCAATCCATCCACTGCTGGCATCCAGGCCCTGACAGATGGAGGAAAGGTCTCACTCCTAGGCTGGGTTTGCGGGGCTGGGCTAGGACTGGGGAATTCCCAGAGACAGACAGACAGACTGACTGACTGACTGACTGACTCTCTCTCTCTCTCTCTCTCTCTCTCTCTCTCTCTCTCTCTCACACACACACACACACACACACACACACACACACACACACACAGGGAAGAATCATGTGCTCCAAAAAGGAAAGGTGACATATGAGTGTAATCAAATTGGTTGGAACCAAAGTGCCAGTAAAGACCATGATAGCCCATAATTCTAGCTCTCGCCCCTCCCTGCTGACCCCAATCTCTTTGGTGGTATTTCAGGCATCCCATGAAGTCACGACTGCAGATGAGACAATGCTGCAGCCCACAAAATTGTCACAGCCAAAATTATGATTTCGGCTCTCCAATAAAGTTTTCTGTGTGCACTTGGGAGCAAACAAACAGCTTGAAGTCAAAATGCAGGAAAAAAAAAAAAAACGTCAAGAACCAGGCTAAAATTAAGCTGCCCTTTACGAGAACTGTTGTCAAATGCTCAGGTGCATCAGTCATCCAGAATTGGCCCTCTGCTCTCTCAAGGGTGTCCCAGGAGAGTTGGGAAGAAATGCAAGAGACCAAAGCCTTCTGGAGTTCATTTACCTGCATGTTTACACAAACACCCGTAAAGTTTGGATTGGCTTCAGGAAGGGAAAAACACATCAATTTTTCAAAGCAGGCTGGCTGTTCATCTTTAAGCCTCGAGTTTGAGCAGTGGAAGACTCTTTAATCTGCTGTGGGTAAACAGCTGCCACTCTAAGCTCACCTTACAGGAGTCAATTATTCCTTTCCAAAAGCCTGCAAAAATGGGAATGACAGGCCTGCCGCTTCCCAGATCACCCAGCTGCTTCCTTTTGCCCTTGCCAGTCCAACACAAAGTGCTCAAGAAGGAAACAGGAGACAAAGCTATGGATCCGCTGGTCTGTTGTCGTCTTCTGGTTTCTGTTTTCAAAGGAAGCCTTCAGACTGCACAGTGGTATATGACTCGGGAATGCACAAATCAGCAAAATTTGAGCTGACCAAAGTTGTCTGAATCCCATCTAGAAGCTTATTCCAACTTGAATCCACCTCAATACCCAGGTGGCCTCGGTTTTGTCACCGCTCTGCCCTCTGGAACTCTCCTGTGACCTCCTCTCTTAGGTCACTTTTCCAACTTCAGAGAGGCAGCAGTGTGGTTCTTCCCATGCCGGCTATGAGGGGAGAGGAGTGGATTGCAGAGACTCAACGCTGAGGTTGGAGCGGTTTCTGAGCTCAGATCTTAGAACCCAAATTGTCCCATGGTCTGGGGGCCACAGCTCTAGTATTTAAAGTAGAGTTGTGCAAAACCTGCCTGCCAACATTTAAAGATGAGTCCTTGGTGAAGGAGACATTTTTCTGCCCTTTTGCAGTGGGGAAGAGAATTTCAAAGTGTTTTCTCATAGGTGTTCCATTGACCTTTCTATATGTCAGAGGAGACTGAAGGGATCTTCTGGGTTTTTTTTTTTTTTCCTTTAAAAAATGCCCCATGTGCTGTCATGGTGTGTTTTGTAGAAGGGCTTTCAGCTTCACAACAGTTCCAGAATAACAAGCATTCCAAGGAACTGTACCAAGCTAAACCCCTTCTGTGCACTGTGATGCCGAGACATTTTCCAAGCTAAAGGAAACTGTTCACCATTCTGAAAGCTGTGGTTAATTGAAAACCTTACACAAATAAATAAGAAAATCCCCTTAGATACCTCTTACATGTAAAAACATAAATGGAACACCTGCTCCCTCCCCAGTTTGCCTGAGTCATCATTTTGCCAAAAATGAAAGAATCAGATATTCAGCACAATATTAATTTAAAAAAACCTTTTTATACACTCATTGTCTTGGCTTTGTGGATCTAACAATGAATATTGGGTACAGTCTTCTAGTTAATAGTTTCTAGCAAACAAAGCATCAGCGTTTCCTAAAAATAAAAATTGTAGAGCTCTGTCTATAGAAGGGTTCAAACCTCTTAACAGACAAGATATGAAGCCCTGAATCTGAAGCAAGAGCAGTTCTGTGTGGGCTTATGGCCTGACTGAAGAGCCTCAATGTGGGCCCCCTTTCTAGAGGAAGGGGTCTCCACAGAAGTCAGGGAACCCCAGCATTTACATGGTTTCAGGCACATCCTGAAACCATCTTTATTTTAGCAAGTCGTCTTTGTTTGGCTGGCCACCATTTTGACTGACATTCTGCTTTTAATGTTGTGCTTTATTGTCATTTTTCCTCTTTATTGGACACTACTCTGAGATCTGCACAGAGAGGTATAGAAACGGTGTAAATAACAGAAAAATAAATAAATATAAGGAGAGTCCTGCAGGATTGGACCAAAGGTCCATCTCGCCCGCACAGTGGTCCAACAGGATCGTGACAAGGGTCCATCACATTCCAGCTGCCCACAGGATCCCAGGAGCATAATGTGAGTGCCACAGCACCCTTCGACATGCTCGCCAGCACCCGGTACACATGGGCAGACTGCTTCTGATACTACAGGTAGCACATGGCCAACCACTGAGCACCACCTTCTCCATGAATTTGCCCAATCCCTTTTTCAACACACCCAGATTGCCAGTCAGCACTACAATGCACGGGCACGAATCCCACAGTCTAAGTGGGATTGTGTTTATCTCCTCTGTTCTTACCATCCCACCGATCGGCTTTATGGGGTGGCACAGGTTCCAGCAATATGAGAGGGAGAAAAATATTACCACTTTCTCCACACCATGCATAATTGGGTACACCTCAGTCATGTTTCTTCCTACTTGCCTTTCGCTCATAACTCTCGTGTCTATCCACTTTTTTGGCATATGGAAAGCCTTGCTGGAACAGAGCAGGGTTCATATAATGGCCAACCTGAATGGGAGGCCCACCAGCAGGACCCTCCTACCCATGTTCTTCAGAAAACAGAGTACAGGGCATGCTGGCTATGCCATTGGAAGTGGCTTTCATCCATCAGGCCTAATGACCACTGGCATCCATGGGGTTTTCCAAGAGCTGAACAGGAGTAGAAAGAAGCAAACAAGGGCCACTTACATTGTGTTTGAAGTCACTGGATGGAGAACAACTTGGGGTGCTCGGGGGGGAGTCTCAGGCACGACATCTGAAAGCAAGAAGAAACCAGTTCACAACAGGTAGCGAGAGATGTGTTCATACAAGCAGGGTCAAACAAGGTTTATACAGTCAGCATCCTGTGCACGTTTGTAACAACACCATGAAGTTCAGTGCGGTAGAACACCACCTCATTCCACCGCAACCTGGCCTGGCTCTGAGCACACTGAAGTGCAAACAGCATCTTTGGACTGAAGATGCTCAGCCCTCAGACAGCATCTTGCCTTGAAGACCCCTGCTGATGGTCAGAGCCTTGGATTCACGCTGAAGCACCACCTGTCTCACTGGAGAACCAGCCCACTGGTGCAGTCGAGCTTCCTTGACCCATTCTAGGGCAGTCTGTAGATGTTCTCTTACATGTGCACTTCACTCCTAGGGCACTACAAAGCCTGTGATGCAGTGACACTGTCATTGAAACACACATGCATTTGAATCTTTGGGGTCCCTAAAATAACAGGAACTGGGGGAGTACAAAAGGAGCCAGGGAAACCCATGGAATTTATGTGGATGTTTGGATTTACCTCCTCTTTCAGCATGAACCTCCAAGGAAGCATTATTTAGAATGTCACCTTGAGCTCAATTTGGAGTGGACTCCAACAATGACAGTCCTGATTTCCCCAGCATGCAGCATCTGATGCATCTTGTCTCCGCTCCCCAGCTTCTGCTACAACCGTTTTCTACCTCATTCTTTAGTGTTTGGGTTTGGCAGGCCACTAATTTTGTGAGTCAAGGGATAAGTATCCTCTAGCTCCAGAGTCCCCAGTTTGAGAATCTGACCAAATGCTGTGGACACAGCCCCAAAATGGCTCTGAGGGTGGACGGGTTATTCAAGAGGTGGTGCCAGGGAGGGAAGAGGTTGGGAAGGAAGATGGAAAAGGAAATGAAAAAGCAGAATCTTGATTCACCCAGCTTTCTTCCACCCACACGGACCTTGCCCCTTTCTCTTCCACCAGTGCTGTTTTTCTCCCTGGTCCCTTCCCTATAGTAGCTTTCCTCCCTTCCCTGTCACTACCCTTCTTTTGCTCCCTTCCTGCCTCCAGCCTGGCTCTTTCTCCCCCACTCCCCCATTTATCTTTCTTTTCTTCTCCTCTCCCAGTCTCAAGCCTTGCTATATTTCCCTCTCCCAAAGCCCTGTCTCACCAGTTCTACCCCCTGCCCATTTCTAGCCATTTTCTTTCTCTCTGACTCACTGTTTCTCTTCCCTTCACCCCTTTATATGGCTGTTTCTCCCCACTCTCCACCAGCAGCCTCATTATCTCTGCCCCAACCCCTTGCCTCCTTTATTTATATATTTATTTAATATGAATGTCTATTTTACGGGGGGTGCATGCAATTCAAGTGCACGTTTTCAGTTGATAAAAGGAAGCAGAAAAGGGATGGAACAGACTTCTGATGGTGGAGAAATGGATACAGACTGGAAATAGACAGATCTTTCCTTTGTACACTTTCTGGACTCCACACACCCAACTTCAGATGGTGACAGCAGCTGGAGGTGAGCCTCCAAAAGGGACCTTAATACCCACAGTGAGAGAGATCAGCAGGAACAGAGCAGCTTGCCCCTCTTCACACATTCACTAAGCATCTGAAAAGGACTTAGGCAGAAGTCCCTAAACGGGCCACTGGGGGTACTGAAATGTTTGACTGCCATTAGCAGTTTCACAAAATGGCTGCCTGGGTGGAGAGTTGCCCATTCATAAAATGGATGCCACAGTGGTCAGGACAAGTCGCAAAGCACTCAGTTCCCGGAAGGCAAAGTGGGCAAGACTGATGGACTAACCACTTGACCAAGAACCTAAGAGAGGAGACCTGAGTTCCAAATCAAACACAGAGCCCGCTCTTTTGACATGAAATACAGAAGGTGCTGTAGGACAGGAGTTCTCTCTGCATCAGGCCAGTCTCCCAATTTTAAAGAAGCATCAATGAGTCAATAACAGATAGGGCAGGTGAGGTTTGAAAGCCTGTTGGACGTGCTCAGGCTAGCAGGAGAGGTTGGTTCCAGGGCAGGGTGCTGGGAGAGCAGACCAGATGTGAGGGCCGAGTGAGAGCTGGGTGGCATCCACGGGGAGTGATAGCCTTCCTAGAGAAACGTACCTGGAAAGATGAATTGCTGTTTGTATTTGTAGTAATGTGAAGCTGAAAAGGAGAAAAGCACAAATTAGGGGGACCCGTAATACCTGAGGACCCCAAAGCACCTCTAAAAGTCAGACATGAGCCCTGTAAGACTGAGCCAAGGATACAACACTAATTGCTCGGCGGTTGCCTGATTCATGTTGCAAAACAAACTGGTTTAGTATATAACAAAGAAAAAGCCTATGAATGATCAACACATTATGTAGCCAAATAATCTTTCCAAAGATTCAAATCATTTATAAATTGTAAATATTTGGATAGGAAGCATCAATTCTATGCCTCAGGCACTACCCACTGGCTTTGAAATGTGAACCCTGTCTTGTCTTGCCCTAAAATGGAAGTTTCCATATGCAAGAATGTAGGGAGCAGAGACACTTGAGCCAAGTGGAATCCTACTAGGCTGCCCAGGAAAATGTTATGGATGGAAAACTTGGAGGTTATAAGGGTACAGGTCAGACCAGGGTTTTCTGCCTGGTTATAATATAAGGCACAGTTTCAGTGAAAATGATCAAGCAATGTGTGAGGAATTTGGTTTGAAAAAACCCCAGCAAAACACAAGTTTGTAGAGGTTTTCCTGATTCCATCCTGAAGAGCATTCCAATCCATGTTTGTTCCAGTTTGCGAGCTGCAGGGTTTGGTTTTGTTTTATTGGTTCATTTCGCTCAAAAAATTGGTGTATGTTATAAAGCACATCTTTCATGTGAATTTTTCAAACTGTTCAGAGTGTGCATTTTCATTCTTTCTAGGGGAAATACACATTTCTAATCAGGATTTTTAATTTTTTTTTCACAGCTAAATTTGCATATAATTATGGAAACCAACAAGCAAAAAGCTTTGTCTGCAAGTCCATGGAATCTGGAGGCCCAGGGAAAGCTGATCTGCTGGAAATTTTGTGGGTCGGTTTTATAGAAATCCACACTCAGCTGAGTCCAGTCTTCAGGCATGTGGAGTAACATGACAAACCAGCAGCTCTGCATGCATGAGACCTCTCCTTTAAAGCAATAGGCAAAAAAGCTTTCTGCATGTAAAATCCAAAGAATTATTTTAACAATTCTACAACCTATCTGTTACACCAGTCATTTAACTGTCAAGTCCCTGAAAAATTTAGCTGGGCAGCCATATTTTAATACTCAACTGAGATTGGAAGGTCCTGAGATTAGAAAGCTGGAGGGAAGCATGTTAACTTCTTCCCGCAGCTGGGGGAATCCCAGGCCACTGGGAAGGTGCTTCTTCTGCTTCCCAGGGATGACCTCAAGCCAAAGAGTGGACCAACGTTGGCCAACTGATGTCCAGAGCTGAAGCAGATGCAACGTGCTTGCTTCCCTCTCCTTGCCAGGAAGAACCTGCAACTCCAGTGGCCTGTAGCCCAGGAGTATCATAAGCAAGGAAGGAGGATGATCCAGCCTCAGCCATTTGCCAAATGAATAAGAGCAGGGATGGGTGAACAAGCAACATCTGGAATCACAAAGATTTTGCTTGAATCTTGATTGCTGGTTGTCTTGTGCCTGCTCACTGGTCACACTCAGTGCAACTGGGGAATTGGCACAGCCCAAACAGCGATCAAGTGTGCAATTTGCAGATGTTTCCCCTATTTGATTTGTGGAACTCCTAACTTAGGGAACCCCTGGGAGCAGCAAATGCATGGAAGGAGACTGGGGACCCCCAGCAGACTTCTCATCAACACGTCTAGCGAACGATTGTTCCCAGGATTCTTTGGGGAGCAAGATGTGCTCACTTGTAGCATGTTTCTGGACTGAACTTCACACACATGGAACCATTTAAACAAGGGGTTGAGAACAGCTCTTTCAGTTCATTCCCAAGCTTGGCCTTCTGCATCAAAGAGCAAAGGAGACGTCTTGAGGAAGCTTGTCCATTGTGTTGGCTATGTCAAATTAGGCTCTCTGCTATTCTGGCCATTTCTGGATGAGGGAGTTGCTTTTCCTTCCCTGCCGTGCCTTGACGAGGCCCTCAGCCCTCCAAGTGCTTTCTGACAGCACTTCCTTTCTATTCATTGTTTCCTCCCATTGTCCATTCCAGTTTCCCTGTGTGGATTTTGCACATAAAATCCCCACACTTTTCACAGGCTTCCATCAAAACAAAAAGAAAAGAGCAACTTCCAGCATGACCTCTTGGCTAGCTTGCCTGCCTAGATTGGCCATTCACACCCCATAGGAGGAGAGAGAGAGAGAGAGAGAGAGAATGAATACCAAGCTACATAAAACTTACTAATTTACACATAGAGGTTATAATTCAGAAAGTAGAAGTCCCATTCCAAAAAAACCACAACACATCTTACTATAGCGCAGAAGACTGTGACCAGGTGACATGTGGCTCTTAGTCCAACTTCTGTCCACCTGCTAACTCTTGATGGACAAATTATGGTATCCATACTTCTTTCTTAGGCTTCTTTATGTTTAGACCAGAGATGTACTGGACAACCCTTCAAAGACAGAATTGTCTTCTGCAAGATCTGCAAAACAGAGCTGGTCCCCACACTTGCCTGTCCAACGTTTCAGACAAGCGGCAGCCGAAAATAACCATCTTCCACCTCAGAATCTCCTGGTCCAGATATTAAAAAGGAGAGATCATCCCTTTAGATGAACACAAAAGGATCAGCCTTTTCTCATTGCACAACAACACTGCAAGGATCACATTTCTCAATACATTTCCATTCCAAAGAACCAGGTTCCTAAACTGCCATTTGTAACTGACAACTAGTGAAGCCAACCAGCATACATAATTTTCTGATTCAGAGTATGAACTGTCCTGCATACAGTTCAGCTGCACTTCAAAACAAGCATTTCCCAGAGAAGCTCATAAATGCCAATTTCTTACTTGAATTTGTCCAGCTCATAATGGCTAGCTGCAGTACCGATTGAGACTGGAGCATTATCCCAGGAAACTCGTGAATATCAATCCCATTTTAAATCAGACTAAACAAAATTGCTACTTGTTAGTGGTAGGTGACTCTGCCAGTTCCATTTTCTTTCCCCAGACTGAAGACATTTGCACATTTTGCTAATTTCTTACCAAAACCAAACTGATTTAAATTCCCAACCATCTGCACCAGCCAAATTCAATAGTTACAACTACTACGATTGGAGAAGATCCTAATATACTGTAATGTTCCAGTACTGTAATGTTTGGAAGAGGTGGCAACCCAGATTTAAGACTTGCATGCCTGAATACACTGAGATTCAACTCTAGACATTTAGCATGCAAGTGCTCCAAAGCTGGGCCTCAATCGATGTACCAGTTTCGGTTCCCCTCACCTGATTCTTTTTCTAGAAAATTGCAATTCCTTTTCCCCCCAGATACAGGGAACATCAAAAATGTTGGTACATTCTTATCAAAACTTAAATAAAGCAACATTCTTACCTAACTGTAGCCTAATGAATTGACACCTGGCTCTCACCTCCACTTAACCTGAGTGTTGGGTATAACAGCAAAGAGCAAAAGGTACCTGAGCTGAATTTCTACACGTTCTCCCTCTTGAAATGCAACCAACACCATCTGAAAATGGATGAGGGTTTGGGGTTTTTCCAGGACATGATGAAGGGGTCGATCATTGCACAGTTCCTGGCATTTCTTCTCCAGCTGGTGAAAAATTGCCTGCCTTGCTTACCAGGATCTTCAAAAAAAAAAAACCCAACCCCAGAACAAATAAAGGCCATACATTTTTGCTGGGCCGACTTGTCTGTGGAGAAACCTCTTGAAACAAGAGTGATGAAAAGAATAGCCTTTGTTTCAGGAGGGGGGCGTGGGGGTGAGACAGAACGGGGCAAGAGGAATGGTAGAAACAAATAGATTTGCGGTGTCAATGAGCTGTGTGCAGTGACCAGAAAACAGGGAGATGTTACTTTGCAGGGAATGCTGGAAGTTCCCTTAGGGAGCTTCGGATTATGCTGCATCTAGTTCAGGCCTTCTGGGAACTCATTCCCAGTCAACCTGGAGAGCCCGGGGACTGATCTTGGGACCCACTCCATGCCCAGCAAGTGCCGTGCACTGAGCAATGGCAACTGTAAGTTCTTTAGAACCGTGGGAAGTTTCCTTACAGCAAAGGAGACCATTGGTCCCTCTGGACCAGGTCTGTTGATGCTGAGTCTGCCAGGCTTTCAGGCAGGATCATCTATTAGCCCTATTTGCAGATTCTGAGAAGGAAAACTGAGACTTTTTCCACGCAAAACATGCACTCTAGCACTGAACTATTGGTTCTGCCAGCCAACAATGTTCTAGTTGAACCCAAGAAAGGTCCTACAGTGCTTGGTACTGTTCTGAATTATTTTCCTTCATTGGCTGGTTTCGTAGGATTTCACTCGATTCCATTACAGGCTATGGGTCCTGTTAATGCCTTAGTCCGGGCAAGGGTTTCTTGACTAGGCCCATCATTGTTGGGTTGCACAGTCCTGCCTGGGCTCAGATCTTTTGCATGGGTCTGAACAGTTCAGGTTTCACAAAGGGATTGGCACAGCAGAAAGCCAAGCAGGGTTGTCCGTATATGCTCCGTTAAGAAGCAAAGCAAGACTGAGTTGTAAGAAACAGTTGGGTTGCATTTAGAGCAGATCACACTGAAGTTCTGACCTATATTAGCACCCTGAAACTGTGACATGGGAATGGCTGTGGAAGCCGTTGTCCTTGTGGCTACAGACTGAAGAGTCTGGGACAGCTAAGTCACTTCCCCTGGACCCAGGGGAGTCCAGGGGTCTTTCTGGGAAACAAGTGGTCTGGGAGCCTTGGAACACCTTTCCCTGGCCAAAGCCTTTCCCTAAACTCAGCAGCCTTTCCCTACAAGGCTGATCCTCCAGTCTAGGGGAGTACCCCCGCTTTTTCAGAATATTTGCATCGCATAGGACGCTAGCAACGACTGACACAGAAACAACTTGCACGCTAAAAATACGTCGAGCCGAGGCAACTGCAGCAGATAAAAAGACAGACATCCAACCGCAATCTAAAAGGTCAAAAGCCTGATGAAATAATATCTTTTAAAGTTGTTCACCATGTGGTGACAAATGCTGTAGCAACGTGTTTCATAAACAAGGTTCGCCCCCGCGCCCGGACCAGCCACGACTGGATGCCTGCCTCCGCCTTCCTTTTGGGCTGTTTCTTCATGTACGGCCACCATGAAGTGTGCTGATATGCTGCATTGCCAAATTATACTCACAGCAGCTGGCAAGAACGGTAAACAAAGCGTCCATATAGAAGTACCACAAAAGCACCGCCATAAATACACCCAATGTAGTTCATTATCTAATACGCACAGCCACATCGGTGAGCTAACATAGCCATTACAATTAACATTTCCCTAAAAGTTTTAAAAACATCCCTTTCATAAATTAAACTAAAAATAATACCATCATTTCACTGACTAACCTTTTGCTAACTAATCCCTTATCATTAAAATACTAGCATCTAAAACAACAACAACATGGATATCGAAATGTTACCATGTAAACCAATTAAATCCAAAGTCTATCAGAACATCAGCAGAATCCTAAACCCTACCCCGAGTAGGCAAGCATTGTGAGGGATGAGATGAGATTCCAGAAGCTACCTAAAAGATTATTTCCAAAGTGATGACTCCACTAAAGTTGTGGGGAAAAGATTTTGAGCTCAGACCATGTTCTTTTAGGGGTAAACTTCAAGCAACAAGTGAAACCAAAGTCTGAGATGGCCAGACAGGGCTTGAAGTATGTGATAGTCTCTCTCTGTTGACTATCTGCCACTCCTTTCTCTTTCCACCCACATCTCTCTCCCCTTCTCTGTCTTTCCCTTTGCCCCACATCCAGCAGGCTTCTAGGAAAGGACACATCCAGTTTGTTTGTTGTTTATTTGCAAAGTCATGTCCAACCCATCACGATCCCATGGACAACATCCCTCCACCCAAGCTCACACCCACCACCCCAGTGACTCCATCCAGCCACCTCATCCTCTGCCGTCCCTTCTCCTTTTGCCAGCAATCATTCCCAGCACCAGGCTCTTCTGCAGTGAGTCCTTGGCCAAAGTTTTGAGTTTCATCTTAAGTATCTGGCCTTATAAAGAGCAGTCTGGGTTGATCTCCTTTAAGAATGACTGGCTCATCAAGTTAGCAGGGTATGAACTGACTGCACAAAGAGGACACTTGCAAGTAAGACGAAGGCCACGAGCAACCCACCCTTGGCTTGGAGGACCGAAAACTTGACTCCATGGGAAGCCCAAGCAGCTCAGCCCTTGTGTGGCAGAAACCAACAGTTCTGGCACAGACGACTGGCTGAGCCACTCACGGTGCGCAGCAAAGCTGCTGGTACCTGGCAGGTTGAACTGCTTCTGTTGCCGCGTGCACTGTGGGGAGGGGTGCAGGGGAGACGGCGGGGTGGCGCTGGGTGGCAGTGGGGGAGCTGGAGAGGAGGGCGTGGAGGACGTCGTGGAGGAGGGATTGCTGCTGGAGTCAGGCTGGTAGGGCACTGGGATGTGATCCTGCAAGAGGGAGAGAGAGGACCTGTTGAGCACGCATAGAAGCACCTGTACCCGAGCATGCATGCATACCCAACGTTGCCCCCTTGGTCTCCCCAGATGGCCATGCCCTCTCCTCCCAGCCCCCTCCGATTTCCCCCTGAACACTGGCTGACCCCACCCCAACTTTGGCATCGTTCCTCCATTCCTTCTAAGGTCAACGTGCTTCTGCCACAGCTTAGTTCTGTGCACCGGGAGCTGTTCCAATGACCGGAAGCCCGGCAATTTCCCAACTCATCCTGGACATGAAGGGGAAAATTCCCACCGGTGCAGTGGGAGGTGGAGTATCAGCAAAGCTGCAGCGTCTGCTGTTGACTAGTCTGCCCCAAGGGGAGCCTTGCAAGCACCAAACATTTGGGGTGGGGGAGGGAAAGGGGCAAGCGCCCTCCTGTTCTCCAGAGAGAAAGCCCAAGTCAGCTCGAGTTACTCTCCGCTGATCATTCCTCACGGGCCATTTAACTTAACAGGGTGAGGCTGCCAGATGGGCTTGTTGTGCAGTGCTGCACCGGGCTCACGGGGATCTGCAGGGCTGCTCCCCGCCAAAGGCTCGGCGCTTCCGCAGAGAAGGCTCCCGGTAAGACAGGTGAAGGAACCCATGGGGGCATGAGGGCTGCCTCCGCATTTTGCAGGGCAGGCAAGATCCCCTCCTTCTCGAGGGGCCGCTCTCTTTACCTGCTGATTTGCTTGGGCCCACTCTGCCCAGGAGAATAAGGGAAATACCGGGGCAGAAGCTGCTCCTCTTGCAGCTAGAAAAGAGCAGGTGAATGGACCCCTAAAGCAAGGAGGCAGGGCATGGAGAGGCGGCTTTGGGAGCCACTTGTGAGCCTCTTCTTTGGATGTGGGTCACGGCAAGTGCCCAGCAATGCTGACTCTTGAGGCCTTATCCCAAGCGTGGGAAAGCCCGCTTCTCTTGCTAGCGGTCTCACAGACCACATGCTCATGACGGACAGGGCAAATGCCAAGACTGGTTGGGAGAACGGTTCATCTTCTCCTCTTTCTGTGCTCTCCTCTCTCCCTTGCTGACACTCCCGCTTCCTCTTCTCCTTTCCGCAGGTTGCAAGGAGAGACAGACAGCCCCTTCCAGAGGTCCAAATGGACCACTTGCAGAGCTTCTGCTGTTGACCCAGGAGATTCACACAGTCCACGGTCTGCACTTCGCACACGCATGCCTTAATTAGTTCCACCTGCATACACTAATCTGTGAGGGCTAATACATACACACTCCAAAGTGTCTCTGTTCACATGCACCATTTAGGATGGGGAAATTGCCAGGAATTTGGCTTTCAGGACCAGCAGAAGCATCCTGCCTTATGCATTCAGTATCTCTGGAGCACAAGGTCAAATTGCACATGACACTTCGGTTTTCTTTTATCCCTAACAGACAAAAGCGCACAGTGGAAAGGGAGTGACATGCCAGCAACTGCACAATGCTTTTCACAGCAAACCACTTGTTTGTCTATCCCTGCTGGACGGATGATTTCTTAAACTCAATTTATAAATAAAAGAGGGGATGATGGGAGCCTACATCGCGGCAACATCCATTTGAGACTCAGTTTTGGACTTCTAGCATTGGCCTTTGCTCTTTAGCCACTTGGAAAAGCAAAAGACTCACAGGAGAACTGGTACAGAGCGCAGCTAGAACAGAAAGCCTGGATGAAAAGTTTAAAAGCAGACGTTCGTTCAGTCTTAACACATTTTGGAAATTAAGGAGTTTGGAAGCAGCTACTGGGGTGGGGGAGAAGCAGTTTGTATAAATGCTGCACAGGTGGAATGCAAATATATGCAAATAAGACCTATAGCATGTGTATATCAGGGCACTCTATTCTGAGATAATGAAGACTCTAGCAAGCAGTTTCCTCTACAATCATGGCTGACAAAAGTCTGCTTCTTCTGCTTAATTCCTCCAGCTTTAAGTTTTAATTACAGGAAATACGGAGGGCTGAGTTTGCCCAAAGGAGTATGAAAAAACCTCTTTCCTCAAGGGTCCACTGCAAAACCAATAAACACACTTCTGTCAGGCCAGAAAATTTGTCCATGGAGCCCAAAGCCAGGGGATAATGGGATTTGTAGCCAGAACCTCTGGGAGATATTATGTTTCAGGAAGGCTCGGCTACTCTGACGGGACACAGTTCAGGAGGTTTTGCATACAAAGCTTGCATTTTGTCCATGAAGTGCTGCCTCGTGCCCTCTAAAGCTTGGGTTGTTAGTCCTCAAGCTTGAGACCTGTCTGAAACTGAAACATGCATCTGGAGAGCCACTGCTTCTGCAAAAACAAAAACAAAAAAGTAAATATTGCTATGGTGACAGGACTGCTGGGGCAATCCGCAGTAGGTCACGCCATGATGTTTCTCTGCTCAGTTTAAAAAAAAAAAAAGCTGCAAGACATCTATGTTAAAACATCCTGTTGTCTTTGATGGTTTGGGCCCTGCCCCCTGTGCCTTTGCTGCCATCCCCCTCTGGACCATGGCCTGCAGCTTCTCCAACCTGGAGCTTGGCCCCTCACCTGAGAAAGGCTCACATCCTCTCATCACCTCTGAGTGACAGGATGCCAGTCCGGGGAGCGGGGGGCGTTCTTTCCTCACACCTGATTCCTCTCTCTCTCTTTTTTTCCCCTTTTAAACTGGAATGATTAAGAACTGAATTAAGGACTCCCTGCATGAAGATCAATGCATCCCACCCATGGGGTTTAGTCCTCATCACACTGGCAACACTGCTGCACGGGTAGCCCAGAGATGCTGTTGAAAACAGCAGTGAATATCTTTCAGCGGAGGGTCTGAATTCAATGTCACAGGAGCTCGTCAGGGTTGCATTCCAGAGAATGGGGCAGCCAAAGGCAACAGGGATGAGGAACAGGCCACAAGAATGCCAGGCCATTCCAGCTGAAATTCTTACCATCTGCCGCTAAGGCTTAGGAGAGCCATGCCCATCTTCCAGAAGAGAAGTGGGCGGAAGTAGGACTCCACGGGAGGCTGGCAACCTGAGCATCCTTTTCCTTCACTCTACACTTTACAGGAGTTATCCATGGCACTGAACCTATAGGGAGTGGCTTTCAGAACAGCTGCAATAAAGCTCAAAAGAAAAGCTGCTCTGGATGAGGTGCCCAATGACTTGAAGTCATGCGCATTGGATCAGTAGCTCAAGGCACAACTGAGGAGCAAGCAGAATCACCCACCTGCCCTACAAAACCCAGGAAACCCCTCAATGAGAGGCAGTTAGAAGAAATGGGATGATGCCAAGGAAAGGGGCAGGGCAGCTGCAGGGACCCCAGGAGGGCTGGATTGGATTGGTCCACCGACTGGAGGTCCCCCACCCCTGATCGAGGGCCACTTACCCCCCATTAATGCATGATTCTGTACATTACCCTGACATCATTGGTTGCCATTCCTAGGGCTGGAAATTGCACAAGTCATAATGGGTAAAATGATGCAAAATGACCTCCCAAGGTACAGAAGGGGGGAGTTCAACATGGAGGTGCCCCTTCAGGGGTACCCCCCCCCACCCATAAGAATATGTGAGGAATCCAGATTGGAGGTGGGAATCCTTTGTCTTTCCTCAGCTCAGCTCCTTGGGCTCCAAGGTGCTTTCTCTGTTCCCTGAGTCCAATCCATGCTGAATGTTCATGTGGGCATCCAACAGAAAACCAGTCCAGGCTGGGTTCTGCATACCTTTTGCAAAGGACTGGGGCATTTGAGTATTTTGTGCAAAGAATTACATACTCTGAAGCCACTAGCAATTTCAAACATGTGCAGATTCGATCCCAGCTTGGCTCCCTTCCTGGCCAGGGCCGAATGTGGGAATGAAGTCTGGTGAGGACCAGAGAGCCAGAGCCTCGCCTGGCCTTTGCATCCCAAAACACCCCCGTCATGCACAACGTCTACCTCTGCCCCAAGGGCCAAGTCCGAGGGATGCTCTTTCCTCTGCTTGCCCCCTCTGGGGACCCTGCTGGATTCCTCTTCTGCCGAGGTTGCTGCTTACAAGCCCCCACCCCAACCCCCAACCAGTTTGGATTTAGCATTGGCCAGATTTGCTGAAATATATACCAGCCCCTTTGAGATTTGAATTGGCAGGCATGGCTGGAAACCCAGAGAGCCATCTGCAAGGCTCTGGCCCAGCAGATGGCTGAACAGACCAGCAAGTAAACTGGAGGATGCAATCGCAACGCAGGAAAAGAAAAACTAGCCAATTTCCTTTCCCCGCCCCTTCATTTTGTTGCAGTTGCTTCGGTTTCCATGGCAGGCAAGGATCCGCTTTCTTCCTTGCTCCCTCCTTTCCCTTCAGCTTCACTAAGAGGCATAAACAGGGATCTGGGCTGAGGGCACATACATCCCTCCCGGTGGACTGGGAGACAGTATCTAGTCACAAAGGAGGACAGCCAAATTACTTTATCTGGGCTGATACCGATGCCACGAGCTCATTCAAAAGTCAGCTCCTGCTCATTTCCACATGGATCTGCATTTTCTTATATTATATTATGGTAAAACGTGCTTTTTACAGTTTGCATTGTATAGTATAAAACATTTTATTTTTTGTTAAAGAGGACTAAATGCATGCAAAGGTGATCTTTCAGGGAGCCTGTGTGGGGTGGCAGAGACAGTCCTGGACTAGGGTCCTGGTCCCCCCCCCCCCTTAGTCATGAAACTCAAAGGGTGGTTTTGGGCCAGTTCTTCACTCTCAACCTAACCTGCCCCACAGGGTGGTGGTTGCTGTTGAGGAAAATAATTATGCTATGCAAGCTGCCTTGCATTCCTCACAGGAGGAAAAAGGGTGGGATATAAATGCAATGTAACAACAACTAACACATTTTGTTTATTGTATTAATATCCCTCTTTCTGCACAAAGCTTACACCATGCTTATCCTCTCCATGTTATCTTTACAACAACCCTGTGAAGTCAGTTAGACTGAGAATCAGTGCCTGGCTCAAGGTTACCTAGTAAACTTCAAAGCAAAGACCAGAACCCAGATCTCCCAAACCTAGTCCAGTACAATAACCAGTATAACAGACTGGCTCTCAAAAATAGCATCTTTACATGCATGTTGGTCCCCTTTTGAAGGAAAAAAAAGCACATCACAACAAAGTTCAGAGAAAGACAACATTGGAAGCATCCATTTGACAATGATGCATCATGTCAGCCTGTATCCAGTGTGGATGACCTGAAATTATTTGGCCATGCTAGACTAGGTAAAACACTTACGTTGCTCTTGGTAACAAAATATGCAATCAATTTCATCTGAAGGGCTGCCTACACCTTATGCCATTTCAATAGCAGCCTCACCTATTCCGATTTGGACACAGGGACTGTCTTCTGTCCAGTTCATAAAAAACCCATAATAAACTTGGTTTGTAGCTGGAGCTAGATTTGCACAGCCCTGATTGGCCAGGACTTAAAACAACCAAAGGTGTTTCTACCCCTTCTCCAAGCAGAACTTGGCAAGGACCGTGATGGCTCTCCTGCTTCTTGACTTGGATTTTTTTATAATGAGGCAGGGAAGATGAAGGATGGAAGAAAAGAACGCACCAAACCAGAAACAGTTCAAAGAAGCACCGACACTTAAAAAGAAGATCTAAACCAGAGTATACACCATGAAAGGAGAGGTGAACATATGTATTCCAAAAATCGCGTGTGCATTCTTTGAAGAGAAAGGCTGGGTAAAGAAGCGGAAAGGAGAACCTTTCAGAAGCAGGAACACGTACACCTGCTTCAGTTTCCATGTACACCTTTATGCAGCCTAAGATCAAACTTGAGTTGAATTGTTACAGGCAATTATATCAAGTAATCCTATACATTTCAATTCAGATTTAAGTCTCACTGAGGGCAAATTTTAATGGTGGAGTAGAAAAATTAAGGACATGCTTATTTTTTCTGTGGATAATTTGGTTCAGGCCTGTGAGAGTTTTGACTGGGTTAAACATGGTGGCAAGCAGGATCTGGGGGGGGGGGCAGTTAATTTATTGCCCCCCCCCAAAAATTCAAGTATGAAGTGTGAAAGAGGAAGGAAAGTTTTGCCTCTTTTTCTCCCCTCCACCCCACCAAAAAATTAAGTAGGGTGGACACTTGCAGTTAGAAAAGTTCACCCCATTATTAAAGGTCATTCCTTCAACACTCACTCACAAACCCTATATGATTGGGATTACATTATTGTGATCCTATTATTATTACATTATTATTCTGTCCCCATGATGTGCTATTGTTCTTATTAGCCAGATGTTTGACAAACATGACTTTGGCAAAGGGAGATACATTGATGAGAAGTTATTTGGCAGTAAGGGGCCCGACCCATAAAGCCTTTCTGATTCTTAATTTTCCAAGCCCTGACTTTCTTGGATAGCCTCCAGTTGAACTTTCAACGCCCAGTTAATGAAAAATGCACCAGCAGCTGCCAGGACCTCGTTGGAACTTGCTGCCTCAAAAGATATTGGCCCAGCATTCTCCACCCCTGACACTTTCGTGTGTCGGTTGCTGGCAAACAGTTCGACCCAAATCCGCAAAGCAGATCATCCGTACCCGCCGTTCCCTCTCCAAATTTCAGCTCTACCATCAAAAGCCACAGATGAGACTGTTGGTAGCAACAAAAGCAGATGTTTAAAGCTGCTGTAATTCAATAACACAACTGGAAAATCCACTTTGGCTGAGATGCATAAGCGCATAAAGTGGGCTTCTCTTTCACTTTTTCAAGTGTTTGTGTAAAGTAGGACTGGGCAACATGTGCCCCCAGCTTCAGGCATGACTCAGACCGCATGGCTAAAATTTGGCAGGGCTGCTGCAGCAGGAACATGGTCTGCAAGGAGGGCAGTGCCTTCTGGGACCACCAGGGATGTTTGGCTATGACATAATAGCAATGAGCAAAAATGCTGCATGTTCTGACCAGGTTTAACTGAGGTTCTGAGGAATGCCTCTGGTGCCAGTCACATGGCATAGACACATGCATCCTCGGAGCATTCGTTTTTTCCAATTTAAACAAAAGCAACAAAAATCCTACCAGGGTTCTTTTTAAATGACACAACCAATAATTAAGCAGATGTATATGATGAGCGCTTGTGCCTCGGCAGGTGTGGAACTGAGGGAGAGCCAGCTTGAAACACTGGGAAAATGAAAGACGTGAAATTCAGAACCGGGTTCAGAGTAAGTCCATGTACTGTATCAGGAGTTTTGGAGAAATTTGTTTCAGCTCAGAAATCACTTGCCAATGCTCCATTTGCTACCCAGAATGTGAACAGGCGTACGAGTTCTCTGAAAATGTTTGAAAATTCCTAAACCTTCTATGGGATTTGAAAAATACACACTTAAAAAAGTTCTGTGAAAAGAAACGTTTCCTTTGATCTGTCCTGATCCCCCTGCCAATCAGTTTCATGAGATGAACAGGCACTCAGTTATCAGGAGACAGGAGGAAAATATCTCTATACCCACATTCTCTCCGGTCTGCATATTTTTGTACACCTGTCTAAGTCCAAAGCTTAGCTTCAGTCTAACACTATAAGTTTTCCCCTCTTATAGGCCCCCAATCATGTGACCCCCAGTCATAAGCTTTCCCCTCTTATAGGCCCCCAATCATGTGAGACCCCCAATCAACACTCACCTTGTTGATTTTGTTGGTTTTAGGAAGGGTCTGGCTGATGTGCAGATCCGAGTATCTGGGGGGCTTCCGCAAGGGGTTGTTGATATCACATGGCACAGATTCTGTCCGGACTAATCTTGCTGGATTATAAAAAAAAGACAAGGTGGAGAAGATTAACAGGAATAAGATCAAGACTTTGACACAGCATAGTTCAGAATCTAAAGGAAACCTTCCACTGAAGCGCCAACATCCTATTAGCTCCATCCTTAATTACAAAATAGACTTTGTTTTGTAGTTAAGCTACTTCTGATTTGCATAAACATAAGAAGGTGCCTTATGCTGTCATCAGACAATTGGCCCATCCCTCCCAAGAAGAGTCCAGTCTGGCTAATGGTGGCCATGCAAGGTATGAAGCAGGGGTCTGTCCAAGCTGTGCTACTCACAAGTCTTTTAATCAAGGACACTTGGAAACTAACTGTGGACCACCTGCAAGCAGGGCCTCTTCTCTACCACATCTTTTCTGCCAACCTCTTCTGGGACTCTCTCCAATCAGACCAGCCCCAGCTGAACTGTATTTCCAAAGCCATCTTGAATCAATTGAGATGCACTTGCAGGCAACATTCTTGGGACTGAAACACCTCATCTGGAATTGTTCCTGTGTGCTTTTTGAAGGACTGAGCACATGGTCAGGAGCTGCATTTGGTGCAGCCTCTCTCATTCTTTGATCCCATCTTATCTGTCCATTTATGTGATCCTTGGCCATGCTAGTTAGCAATAATAGAAGCTGAGTCCCCAAATGCTGGTGGTTTGCAAGTTTGGAGAAGTCTGCCCGAGTGAACTGCTGGGGCATAATGGCACCTGAGACAGAGACTGACTTGGTGTTAAGGACTGCTAAGTCTGGAACCAAAACCCCACGGGTTGCTGCTGCTCAGCCTCACTGACTAGCCCCACAAGAGCGCGAAGCTGTAGGCTTCCTTGGCCAGGAGAGCAAGTTCTTTCTAGTGAAGGCTGCCTCTTACAGTGAGCAGCTCCTTAACTCTCAAGCGCAGTGCTGCTCCAAGGGCAGATGAACCTTCTGGATTGTGTCCATTGCTCACACATTTGAACCAGTTGTTCTGGTGTTGTATTTCTTTGCCCTTTAGGAACACAGACCCAAATGCCTTCTGCCGCTGGGCTGTCACGACATGATTCGTGCAAGATCTTTTCCCTTTTTTTCCACACTCCGTTGCAGCCTTCCTCTTCACAAATCATGTTGTGCCATCAGCTCATTGGCTGCCCTTTCCAGATGATTAATTCATATGTCAGACAGTCAAGTCATAATGCAGGCTGCTGCGAACGTTCCCGTCTCCATTGTGCAAATTGACCACTGCTGCCAAGTATCTGCTCCCCCTTCCTTTCAGGCAGTTACAGGCCCAAGCTGGGCCCTCATTTCCCACCCCGTGACTCCTAGTTCCATAGGCACTTTTGAACCTGCACAAAATATATCTAGTTACAACAAATCTCTTCTCACTGTCATGTGAAACTTTCCTCAATTACCTTCATGCACCATGCTGTTGCTTCTGCATATATTTTGTTTTTTCTAGATGCCCCTCATTCTAATGGTACCAAACCTTTGTTTTCTCTATTGGATGCACTAAGAACTGAACCTCTTCCTCTGCTTCTATATTTAGATTTCAGTCCTACATATACTTACTCTAGAGGAAGCCCCATTGAACCCCAAAATATTTACTTCTATGTAGACATACATAGGCTCGTGGTGTTAAGGGCATCTGGTTCACCCTGGCTGATTTTAGTTGACCCTTCTGCACTTTTGCTGTACTTTCCCTTCTTTCCAAATATCCACCTCTCAGTTGTAAGCATGTTGGAATTTGGTTGGGTTTTAAAATTCTCTACAGCAATAATAAGATAAAGAGGAAGAAAAAGTCAAGCAGAGGAGAAGATGAAAAAGAAGGGAGAGGAGAAGGCATCCTCACACCCAGAAGTGAGAACCTGACTTTCTGGAAGTGGTGACATTCGGGACGGACCACGGCGATGCTTCATGGATTATCCAATTAGTCATAGGGCAGCCCACAGGCTGCGGGCTTTCTCAGAAGAATGCAAGGACACTGTCTATGGGAAACATATCCAGGAAGCTAAGAGGGGATCTTTGTGCTTTCCTGAAAGGACTCTGAACGCCTTCCCTTGCTCCGTCCACAACCCAAGTTTCCAACTGCACCAGTGGAGTATCCACGCACCACCAGGTAGTTCTCCCTCCGGCTTTGGCAGCTCAGTTTTTGTCTCTCTAGACTCCAGTTCCCAGTCCAAGAACATATTGTCTTACTTGAACAGACTCTGGAATGGTTCTGGCTAAACAGCCTCCCCATTGACTCTCTCTGACACGGAAGAGCTTTGTGCACTATTCAGATTGGACTTCTCCCACAGAGGGCGCTACATCTGCAGTTGCCTGTGACTCAGCAGCAATACTGAGGAACTACTGCGAATCCCAGACTTTGACCATTGGCAAGAACCTCTCCATATTCATGAAGATGGGACATGTCTCCCCTTTACCTGGACACTGATGGCTGCCAAAGAGAAGCCCGGGAGCAAGTGCCAACCACTGCAGAGCTCCCCTGCAATGCTCTCAATGTCTTAGATCTTGCCACTGAAGGCCTCTGATTAGACACAATAAGCAGCTCATTAAAAGCATTTAGCAAACACAAGTATTCTCAGCAAAGGTGTATTTAGCAAGCAGAAAACAGCAGCAGCCTCATTAGAGCTAAATGAAATGCATATTTCTGAGTCTGGGTTTTCAAGCATCCCCCCTCCAGGTAATCACTTTCACATGGGGAACACTTTAATGAAAAGGCAAAGCTGTTCCTGGTGAGAGAAGCTCCCCTTCTGGGGCCTATGACTCTTCCTCTCCATATGCATGAAGTATTCACCTGCGGAGAAGCGAGCAGACTTCTTTTTGGCAGAGAGCAATGCAAAAGCAAACCTCCACCTGGCTGGCTCTGCGCTTTCATGTAGCAAAGAGAGACATATCTCAGACCAAGAGGAACATGAACCAGAAGAGACTGCCTGGAAGTTTTCCACTGATATCATGGGCCCAGGACCTGCTTCCCGTCATTGTGGAAGGAAGCCACAGATTCAGAGGACCATTCAAGTGGGACAGGAAATTGTCCTCCGAGCCAGCCTGAGATGTCTCTCCTGTCAGGGAGAAGATGACAACCCAGGAGGAGGAGATGATCAGAAGAAGAGCTTCCCTTCTTGCTGCCTCTCTGTACAATTTCAGAGTGCACTGCTGCTCCTGGTGAGACGGGTTTCCCTTCTGGGGCCTGTAAGGCTTCCTCTCCATGCTCTCCTAAGACAAGGGTGCTGCCTCATTTGTTGCTGAGCACTACTTTAGCCTGAGCTCTGTGGAGCGCTATTATGGGTGAGATCCAAACCAGATGTAGCAGCAGGTTGTGTTCCTCACATGCAAAATATAAGCAGCATGGAAAATACTGAGTGGTGCTGGGAGCCAGACAGGGTTGTCCATCTGTTGCTCCAGCAAGCAGCCGACTGAGGCAGGACTTTATGTATGAGTCCGACTTCCTTTAGGCTAGTTGACCCTTCCTCCACACTGACTGAGGTTCGCCTCTCGAAAGGGCCTGGCCTGTTTGTGAAGGCATCTCTTCATGTCAAGAGAACAGCAATGCAAGCTCCTTGGACAGCTAGGGAGATGTGCTTTCAAGATAATCAGGTGCCAGGCGGTGGAATCCTTTTTGTGCCTTTCTATGCTCAATCGCCCTTCCTGAACCATTAATGCTGGACTCTGCTTCTGATCCCAATGGGTTGGGTTTCTTACAGATGATTCAGGGTACTGGTCATTGGCATTCTCTGGCCTTTGGAGAAAGCCTTGCCCTCCTATGGCTCCAAGCAGTTCAGCCCAGATGTCCCAGCAAAGCATGGTTGCTCCAGAACTGCAGGAGTCAGTGCCTACAGTCCTTTAACTGAAAAGGCATTTTCCACTGAGGGTGGAGCCAAGCAGTGGTTCTATTTCAGGCTCCGTCTGGGGGTTGCCTGGCGCGAAGCCACATTCGAACCAAGATGTCAGCTCTATCCCCCTGCGAGCTGTCCAAGATGCTCTCTGCATCCCAAATTCTTGCCTCCCTCCATCGAAAGGGGAACATTGCCCTAGTTTGCTTCACCTGATTCTGCCCTGCTGGAACCTGAACTCAAGCCACAGATGCCTCGCTTGACCAGAACTGTTACAGTGCCATGGCAGTTACTTGGAGCAGAGCCACCAGTAGCCTCAGGACCCATCAAGGGGAGCCTGCGAACACACACCCCTCCATCTCAAGACCAGCAGCTTGGAAGGCACCCCCATTTATGCAACTTGAGGCCCACCATGAGCTTCAGCGAAATGACCTTTAAGCATGAGATGGACAAGTATCTGTCTTTTTTCTTTACCAGTGTGGCTAACCTCTCCCTCAAGAGCATGCCTGAAAAACACATTATGCCATGTCACAGTTCTATTGCAGTGGAATTTTTAAAAAATCAAAGACAGACAGACAGACAGATGGACTCCCACCAACCCACACTTAGTAAGGCCATTTCTCCCTCCAAAAACGTAGAGTTCTCTGCATCCTCTACCTAAATTATATTGAATCTCTCCCTTTTATGGGTGATAAATGGCCACATGAAAAGGGATATTCAGCCCAGCTTTTAAAATGCATGCAATCGAAGTGCTCCCTTCTAAATTTGTGAAAAAGCAGACACGGTGTATAAATGGGAAGTCATTACTGCAGGAAGACAAGAGAATGAGGTAAAGCAAGGCAGCGACATTAGACACCCCAGGAGGTGCAATGCGATGCAGTTGCTCAGAGTGCCAAGACAGAAGCAGCTCTGGTAGGAAAATTGCGTCCTCCATTCTGGGCTAGAGAAACCATGGGGAGACTTCAGACTCTTCATGGGAGCAGGTCTTACCTCCCCGGTGGATGATCAGCAGATGACATGGTGGGGCCTCTTTGGTGCATTTATTGTGGCACTTGAGTCTGAGAGAGAAGTGGAGACAAAAGCACTCAGAGAGGCGGCAGCTGCGATGGTTACGTTGTCAGACTGGGAGGGGGCTCAGCCCGAAATCTGCACGAAACCCAGGAGGGTCGCTGGATGACCCTGAACCAGGCCATAGATCTGTCTCAGAACCCAACGGTTAGGCTACAGTGCTTTCCAGGCACACTGTGTTTCTGTGCTTTGTGCTGTAACAGGATTCCAATATCCCAAACCTGGGTGCAAAATCCCAGCTCAGTTTTATGCATGATGGTTAGATACACTGAACTGCCTTGCCATGAGAACCAAAAACAAGCACAGCTGCTCCAGGCTACAAAGTGTATGTGATCTGTTGCCCCATGTGGGTGTTTTCCGACCTTTCAATTGCCCTGTGACCAAGCCACATGTTGGCCTCTGCAACTTTGGCACAGTCCCAAGCTTTGTAAGATCCTTTGTTCTGAGGTAGTAGATACCAAGAAGCCTGCACTGACCCCTCTCAAGGAGAGGCCGACTCTGATCCAGAGCAGCTGGATCATGAAGAATTATATAGGCACTGTCCATGGTGCTGAATCCATACCCCAAATAGGTTCACCACCATGGATAGCTATGCTCAAAATAAAAGTCTTCAGTGGCCAGGAATCACCACCATCAAGTTATCTCCATGGACAAAAATGTCCATGTATATACCTGAACACAGATGTGAGTTGCACATGTATATACCTGAACACAGATGCACAAGCACATGAGTGACGGACCTTGTAGCTTCATACCTGGTTTTTAAACCTCCCAGAACCATCAGTCATTGGCTGTTGATTACAGAATGCTGCAACAGATTGACTTTTGGGATGATCCAAAAGGGTCCTTTTTGTGTGCTTGTGTCCTCTGTCTGCAAGTACTCACTCTCTTTAACTCCGGACATGTCATGGTGATGGCAGCTGCCAGAAGAGACACTCCCACTGGTTCCAGGTGGAAGCCATTTACAGCATGAGTGGGCTTCACCTCTAAGCACCCGACTATCAGCTATGCTGGCTCACAGGGACTGACAGCCAAAACCTCTGGAGAACTATCTTCTTCCCACCCCTTGTTTAGAGACCATTTGGAGAAGACCTTTGGTGTACTGGCTCCCCCTCTGAGGAGTTTGCTGCCACTGGATGTCAGGTAGGTATTAACACGTACTATTTATACCACCTGAAGATCTCAGGGTTGATTTTAGGGAAATTGCAGGGTCAGTACATCTGGAGTAGAACAGGAAACAACCCTCATGATCATGGTTGTCTCCCCCACCAGATTTCTTGCTTGGTTTTCCATCTCTTGCAAATGTATTTTTTATTCAGCCACATTTCTCACCGCTTGTGTAAGCTTCTATTGGCATAATGTAATTGTAAATATTTTGGACTGTGCATTTTTTTCTTTATAGTGCATCACTCAGGAATAGTTTGGGGTGCAGTGGGTTATACATTCTGTAAATAAATGAGGGTCTGGCACCTTTCACCTGCCTGAGGGAAGCTTCACAACTTCTCACGATGTGAGATTGAAAATAAAGTTCTCATGCTACTGATCTCAAATGAAGACATGGATTGACAGCAGTGTAGTCCATTCATAGATACAGGTGCTAAGGGACACAGATCTAGTCTATGGGGAAATCACCTTTCCAAGCATGGCATGTGGCCACCATCTTTAAAAATGGCAGCCATCACCAGCACAAAGAATATGTGTTGGACACTGCCAGAGCTAAGACCAGGCATCATGCAGCTTTCCCCGATGCTCTGTGATCCACAGGACAACTATTCCCTGAGTGCAGAAGTGTCCCAAGTACAGGAGGGACTCCAGCAACCCAAGCCAATCCCTAGCATTCAAGAGCAAATGCAGGGCTGCAAAGGTCTGAGATCAAGCTGCCTTCACGACAAAATTCTCTTCTATCTCTGTGCAGGGTCCAGCTGGTCTAGCATTGCTGGAAGCAAGATCCAGAATTCAGCATGCTAGCATTTTTCTGCATCTCAGCTTTGGCAAGGTTGTTATTGCTGTTGGGTTTTTTTAGGTGGGATCTCAAATACAACCTTAATCAATCTGACTCTAAGGATTTCCATGCTCCACCTGCTTGGGGAGAAGCTGAACCTGCACAAATCTGAAACTTTTTTGCATATAGCTCATAATTTGAGGTGCGGGGTGGGTGGGGAGCTGGAGGAAACTGGCTTGCGACACCTTATGTTCTTGGGCTGCATTTGGGCCTTTGGGATAATAGACCCAAATGGAGCACAGATCTACAAATAGCCAGCTGTGTGCAAGTGAGGAAAACCAGAACTCAGCTGCAGTTGTCAGCTGTATCAGCAGAGGAGCAGGGCTTGGGGCCCATGAAGCTGATAGCAAAGGGGGCTTACTTGCAGTTTTTACATTTCAGTCCAAACAGCATTCCTTTTCCACAGACGGTGCAGGTCTGAGACATCCAATACTTGGTGGAAAACCTGGAGAGAGAGAGAGAGAGAGAGAGAGAGAGAGAGAGAGAGAGAGAGAGATTGACCTCTTTTAAGTCTTAGATAAAAGCTCTTCCCCAAAATGGAAGCATCTATTAGCTAATTAATCTGTTTGCTCTGTGGTCTCCCCAGCTCTCATTCCTCCAGTTACCTAGTCCAGGAGAACCTGAATTGCTTATTGATCTTGGCTGACTAAGCCAATGCAAAGCTGTTATGTAAGTTCTTGCAGCTCCTCTTAACTTGAGTAAGAGCTTTGAGGGCAAACAGCATGCTGCAGTGACTTCCCACCCCCACAAAGCTAGTAAAAACATTGGGAATTCAATCAGTCACCCAGCTCGAGGCTGTCATACAAACCCTCCATCAAACCAACCAAGCAATGGACATTTCAGGATATAGAAAATAGAAGTTCGGTGCAAAAGACACTAGCATTCCTGCCACAACGCACTTCCCAAAGTAACTCTTTGCCTCTGAACCATTTCCCAATACTGACAGTAGAGCCTAAGAATTTTGCCGTTCCCCCCCAACTTTATCACTAGGTTGTTGATTGTACGTCTGTCAAGAAGAAAGAAGTTCAATACAGGAACTAAGTAAAGTGGGATTGCAGATCCACAGCAGAGGTAGAGAGCCACAGCTTGTGGGCCAAATCTGTTCTTCCTCAGGGGAAAGCCAGCTTGTCACATCGCCTGCCCTCTCCCCCGGGAAGTATGAAAAGGCAGCTGGCCCTTTCGCAGCCCAGTCCAGCTTCTGAGGAGGGAGCCTACAGAAAGATTGGTCTGCCCTGACTATGAAGCCGTCCAGTGGCTCCTGGACAGGGACTGTGCAATGTTGCAGTACTCCAGTTCCAGGACTGCTGTCCATTGTCCTGGAAGTAACTCCGATCCTAGATGCAGAGCATCTGCCTGCTCCTCTTCGGCCGAGGAGGTGGCAGAATCCGAGATGGATTTTATTCAGGCTGCTGGTTGCAGGAAGGTTTCTCTCTGCGATCAGGTGGAGACAAATAGAAATCCCCTGCAGACTGACCCAATCGTGGGAGGGCAGGAAGTGAGGTGGGAGGGCAAGAATGCACAAAAAAGGTTGAAGTGGGGCCAACGTGCAGAGCCCCTGTTCTGTTGATTAATTTTTAAGTATCCTGGTCAGGCATAATACCTGCAAAACTGTTCCTATTGGGGGTTACCGAAAAGGATCTAAATTGCTTTCCTAAATCTTTGTACACTGCGCAGGGATTAAGAATGGATGGAAGTGGTGCTCAAAGCTCTGAGCTCTCGCAGCAAAGGCAACTTCTCTCTAAAAGCTGTTCAAAGTCCCATGACCAAACTTTCAGTTTGCTTCTTTAAAACAATTGTAGGATTGGAGCAAGTTGCACACTACATTCCTCAATTTGGCCCCTTCCAGATGTTTGGGACTTCAACTCCTATCAGCCATTGCCAACATGGCCCCTTGATGGGGGTGATGGGAATTGGTGCAGATCAGGGAAGACTGCTATGGGCCACTTGCTACCTAATCTAGCATCCCCATCTTCTTCTGTTAAGAAGTAAAGCAGCTTGAAGCTGCTTCTCAGAAAGGAGGCAGCTTCCCAGCTTATGCGCAGGTTTTTCTCCATTGGAAAGGCTGGAATACCTGTCCTGCAGTTAGTTCCTGGCTGTAAACTACAACACAGCTGCCTTTTTAAAACACACTTGGCTCCTTCCCTTTGTCTTTCACTACACCTTTCCCAGAAAGCAGCCACCAAGAGCTCCTGAGAAAAAGAAATTGGTACTAAGGCTGAAAGATAGCACGGAGACCTTTTCTATTGCCATTTCTTCCAGGAGAGGAGAGAGCAAGGAATGCTCTCGTGGAATTTATACAAGGTCACTAGCTTGTCAATAAGAATGCAATGGTTTTATCGACAGCAGCTGCGGTTTTATCTAAGTGACATCAGAAACTGAAATGGTGTTTTGAATTAGTTTTCTCCCGTCTGCAAGCAGAGGGGGGTCACCCCCGCCACTCGCCTCTGGCCAGGGATTACGCAGCCCAAGCAGAACCCAGAGAAGATTTCCTTGTCACAGCTCCAAACTTGTCTTGCTTGCATTTGGAGTGGCTCCTTCCAAGAAAGTGATAGCCTAATGCAATTCAGCTTTAACCTTTCTACTGCATTCATAGGCCATCTTGCAAAAATAGAAGTCCTCTCCAAGTGGCTTACATTAATATCGTAAAATCATTTAATAGCACGATCTGAACTAGAAGGGACACATAAAACACTTCCTGGTCAGCTCAGTCACTGCATATTGCAATTTTAAAAGGGTGAGATGGTAGTAAAGCAGCTCTTCATTTCAAATAAAAAAGATTGATTTCTTTTCTTTTTTAAATAAAGGACTTTAAAGCTTGCTTAAAAGCAGTCTGGGAAGGAGATGTACAAACCACTCATGGAAGGATTATTTAAACTTAAGCTAAATGATTAGAAGAAATATTCCATGTCATCATTATCAGCACATAGATATCCCAACTTTTAGCCTCCTGACGGGAACATAACGCAATTCCCATAGATCTATTTTCTTCTCTCAACAACAACCCTGCGGGTAGGATAAGCTGAGAGTCTGTGTCTGGCCCAAAGTCAATTAAATCAATTGGATTCTGGCTGTTCTGTTATGTTCTTGGGTTTTAACCTCTGTCACCAAGAACAGAATAGAAATGGTGGAAGCCTGAAATGGTAGAGCTAATTTTATGACTTCAAATTGCTGGGATTGATGGTTTCGTGGGCAAGGAGGAGAAGACACCATTCCTTAATTCCCCTCCATGTGAAATCAAACATCTTCATTAAAAGTACAATTTATGGGCATCCTCAGGTAGAATACTCTGTATTCTATAAGAGGGTATTGTAGAGTTGTAAAAAGTGCAGAAGGGGACAACTAGAATGAACCATGGGCTACAGGAGAAATTGTGGGGGGCTTGTGAGTGGAAGGCAAGGAACAGGAGAAATGATGGAGGTGCCCAAAATTATGCATGGTGTGAAGAAAGTGGGGCAGGGGGAGACAGTTGCCTTCCTGCCCCATAAATAAGAGATCCTGATAGGAGCATCTCATGACGTTGACTAATGGGAGATCCAAAGGGGGATTTTTCCAGGCAAGTTCAGGGGACATTTGCATAATTTACTTCATTAAGATATAGTGATGGCTACCAATTTGCAGGGTTTCAGGAGGAGATAGGGCAAATTCCTGGAGAAGGCCGTCAGTGGCTACCAGTTCTGATGGCTTGATACTTCCACCACTATCAGAGGCAGTGTGCCTGGGTGTACCAAGTGCTGGGGAACATGGGCTGGAAGGTGTCCTTGCACTCCTGTCCTGCTGGTGGGTTTTTTGTGGGCAGCTGGTTGGCCACTGTCTGAGCAGAATGCTAGCCTAGAGTGACTTTGACCCGCTCTGGCATGGCTCGTCTTAGCTCTTCTCACTGATCTAGCATTAAGCGTGATGGTTGGAGTGCTGGAATGGGGCCTTGAGCGATCCCAGTTCTGGTGCCCACCTGCCCATAGAGCTCACCGGCCCATGACTCTCAAGTTTAACCCACCTCACAGGACGGTTGTTATGAGGATTAAACAGAGTGGAGGACGACTATGTAAACCAGACTGCTCTTCGCAAGAAGAAAAAGGTGGGTTATGAACATGTGTGTGTGTTTCTTTTTAAACTTTTCTGGTATTTTAATTGTTAAAAATGATTACTCAATTTTACATTGGCTTTTATTCATATTGTCACTGGTATATTGTTGTTATTATTATCCATCTGTTAATTGTTGTTTATGGGGGTTGCATTTTGATGGGTATTCTTGATGTCCTATTGACATCAAATGTATTTATATTATGTTACATTTTTATATGGCTTTATCTTTGTTGTGCACCGTTCTGAGAACTCTTGAACTAACTGAATGGTATATATAAAGCCTTAAATAAATATTTTGTGTTCTTTAAAACAACAATTCATTATTAATACATAATAATGCTTATAATGCATTAATATTAATAGCTAATAATGCATAGGTATTTGTATCTAATTATTAGCATCTTTGCCATGGTTTGCTAGTTTTCTAATTGCAGGAAGCACTTTACACAAGTTTGCTAGTTTTCTACTTGCAGGGAGCATTCCCTCCCCCCCCACCCCCATTTCCCTAACTCCAATATGGTATAGTCCGTTCTGTCACTTTATTTCCACCTTACTCCATTGCCTTTTTGGACTGCCCTTGGGGGCAGTTTATGGGGACTGTTATGATGAGCACCTGTCTGGTCCCACCCCACTGAATGAACAAACTCAAAAAACCCACAATTCACAGGGACCTGGGTGATTCCCTGTGAACTGTGTGCAAGGACAGATGGATGGATGGATGGACGGATGGACAGACAGGAGAGGCGGGGGGTGGCTTATGCCTGATGCGAACCCCCAAAATAAGCTTCCCGACATCAGCTGCAGTCCCTTCAGAGGTGCAAAGGAAAAGCAGTACCTGCCTCAGTAGCACTGAATCTAGGTCAGCACCGAGAAGGTTACTCCCCGCTTCTCCTGTTCCATCATCAAGACTTTCACCACCTCATACCTGTGTTTGATTGAGTTTCCAAGATCCCGCCGAGGAATCTGTGGGGACCAGCAAGGTACTAAGAGTGTATCTGCAAGACAGAAATTGGAAAAAAGAAATGATACATTTATTTGTATTATTGTCAATGATGCTGCTCAGGTGACTCAATATTTTTTCAAAAAAAGGTTTTACAAAACCATCAGCAAGAGTTTTTTCTTATTTCAAGCTCTGTAAGAAGTGGGACCAGGGCTGTTCCTACTCAAACATGACCTTTTGAAAAGAGATGCCCAATTCCACATCTAGTCCCTCCCTGCTCAGGCCTTCTAGTCTTCCTTCCCCAGAAAGTATCCAAGAACCTTATCCATTCCTGGCAGGGCTCCCTGAAGCATCCTTCAGATCTTAGACCTGGCTAAATTTTTTGTACTTCTACTGTGCTGCTGGGCTGATTGATCGAAAGGTTGCCGGTTCGAATCTGCACAACAGGGCGAGTTCCCGTTGCTCCGTCCCAGCTCCTGCCAACCTTGCAGTTCGAAAGCATGCAAATGCAAGTAGATAAAAAGGTACCACTTCGGTGGGCAGGTAACAGCGTTCCGTGCACCTCGGTGTTTAGTCATGCCGGCCACATGACCACGGGGACCGTCTGCGGACAAGCGCTGGCTCCCTTGGCTAGGAAACGGAGAAGAGCACCACCCCCGAGAGTCAGGCATGGCTGGATGTAACGTCAAGGGGAAACCTTTACCTTTACTTTACTACACATCTTGGGATTTCACACAGCATGCCGATACCTGCACCACCATCTTGACTGCACAGGGGGAGGGGGCTACCATTTCAGCCGCCCACTCACAAACCAGGACATGAGTTGGCTATTAGTACAGAGGCTACGGATCAACCAGCAAACACAGCTGCAAAGTTTTATGATGCTGGGAATGAGAAGACAATGCACGCACTCACTTTACAGGGAACACAATACTCGAAAAAGTTCCTTAGAATCGTCTCCTAGCATCGCCACCACTCAGGCTAAAATTTGGCAGGGGAAGAGCATCTAAATGTAGCTGAGAACTGAAGGACTGGCCCTGCCTTGACTTGCATGTACATTTGCTTCAAACAACAGCTCAGAAACAAGAGCTATGCACGGCAAAGCCAATAAATATGATGTGGGTTTTTTTAATGGCTCGCTACCCAGAGCTCTAAGCAGTGTATTACTAAGTAGATATAAACTCAGTTTTCGGGATGCTAAGTTGTATATAGTCAAAGCAGTACCATCTATGCACAAGAGAGAGAAAGCAACATATTTAGGGGAACCTAAGAGTGTGCCAAAGTATATAAAATATGCAGGGGTCAAACACTAATGAGAGGAGACCTCAAACACAGCCCAGTGAAGACTGAGAAGGCTAAGGGGACACATAAACATGACTATCAGGGGTCAGAAAATAGGGAGGGAAATAAACTGAGCAGCAGCTTTTCCATACTGCGGTTCCCATTTGTTAAATATCGTTGTTTCTGCTGTGTGTTATGGGAGAAAGGGGTTGTATGTGCTTCCACACTAGCCATCTTGTCTGGTGCTTACTGACCCAATATGGTAAGTTGGTATGGTATGGAAAGTTTCTTCTGTATCAGCGAGAACCCAGGTGATGTCCATTCCCAAGTGTCCCACATCCATGTTTTCTCTGCTTCCACCTGATTTTTATATAGCTAAATTATTATCAGAGAGCCAGAGACTGGTCAAAAGTCACCGAGTGAGCCTCATGAATGAGTAGAAGCTGAACCCAGAGAGAAAACTAGCAACTTAAAGGGTTAACTTCAAGGGGGCAAAAAGCCCTTAGTTGCTCTATGGAAACCTTCCAAAGCTTAATCTCTCCCCAGCCACTCTTTGGGCTCATTCTTAGTCTGCCCATATTTAGGCAAAGCTTCGAATACACAAATGAAGAATTGGAAAATGGTTAAGCTGCTGGGACATGGCTCATCTCACAGATACACATGGTTTTGCTCTCACACAGAGAAGCCTGTTGCAGTGTGAAAAGCAAGTATTAGATTCCATTTGTGTCTAATTCCATTGCAATAACATTTGCCACTTCCAAATGCTTGACGCTAATTCCCACCCACTCTGCTTCTGACCAATTCCACGAGGCTTTGCTGATTTCTGCCTGTACTCGTAATAAGGTTGTTGTTTTCCAAAGACAGTGATTTAGAGAGCAAATACTTTCAAACTCCCCGACAGCTGCAATGAAGGTGGAGGGGCCCTTGATACCAGTGCAAAAGCTATAGGATTCTGAGCCTTAAATGCCACTCAGGAAGGATGCAAACATGGACTACTGAAGTCAGACCACCTGTAGCCCACCAGCAGACTCAGAGGCAACCCCAGGGCTTGCTGTGGGTACCTGTCAATCCTTCAGCAAACAGGCTTCTGAGGACTTTTTATATATAGGCGATGAATGCTTCTGTTTGCTTTCATATCCTATTCTAATATTACAGGTCGAGGTGGGTTTTAATTACGTGCCACTTTGGAAGGTTACATTTGCATGCGACTTCCTGTGTGGATCCAGCGCTCCCTTTGCTGCTTGAGAGGGAAAACGCAGAGGCAAATGGATAGCGTTCCGTATGCAGCCACTAAAAAAAAGCTACAAGCGAGCTGAAAAACTGCCTTACTCCATCAGGCCATTTGATCCAGAATTCCAGTTCAAACCATGGCCGGTCAAAGGGTGTGCATCCTATGCCTTGTGCTCAGCATGTGATCTTGGGTGTCAATAAAGCCTGTGTATGGGGTTTTCATTCGATACTGCTTTGGCAAATAGCTACTAGTAAGTGGGATTTGCAAGGAAGGGTACAATTCTGCTCTTGGTTGCACCAACCAGATGCCCTGCAATTCCCAGCAGGATGGACCGGAGGCATGCTGGGGGCTGTTAGGACTGTTTGCCTCCAGCAAGGACTAGGAGACCCTCCCTGTTGTAGCCACCTCCCTTCAGTGAAGGCATCTGGGAAGCACTATCTGAAGATAGCTTGAAGATCTGAGCAGGTACATGCTTAAAAGTGGTTTTCTGGTGCTTTTGGACTTTTCCATGTTGCTTTGACTTCCACCAATGAAGGAACGAGGCCCTGCAAAGCTTCTCCAAAATGGAATTGGGCTTTTGAGAAATGGAAGATCAGATTCTTGACTCCTCTGACCTACACCTGCGTTAAAGCCTTGAGTTCTTGTTCCTGCAGTTCCAATCTCTATCTCCTTTTCTTGCAACACGGGTTCAACAATGCCTTTTCCTCATTCTGTGGGAAATTAGTGCTTAGAAATCAGAAGCTGAGTAAAGAGTATTTGCTGACAGTCCTGAAAAAAAAACATAATTTACATCATTCACAATCTGGCACTTATAAGCACAAAGGGGCCCTTTTATTTTCAGAAATGCCTTTTGCTCGTCACCAAATCATATTATACAAAGGATCCACCTTCTTCCCCTCCCTGGCTTATCCTTTGTGAACCAAACACATGGGCAATTACAGTTATTTACCTGAAGTTAAATTAAAATCTCTGCCTTATCATCCACAATTTATATCCACTAACTTTTGCCTGGCCTCAATTAAATTCAGTTGTTTTACAAGGAACAGCAAGAGAGAGAGAGAGAGTAGCTAAGGCAGTTAATTACTTTCTACAACATTCTCACTGAAAAAAAATATTAAAGTGTATCAGGAATCATAACCTCTGAACAAAGCCATGAGACACCCTCCGTGATTTACAGGTAATTATTTTCATTATAGGGATGATGGATGGAGGATCTGAGATATTACGAATACCCCAGCTGTTTGCAGTGGAGAGGGAAGAGAGAAGGCATGGGGTTCGGTGGGGATGGGATTGAAATGATGCAGTTGGCAGGTCCTGGTGAGTTTCAAAGAGATTTTTCAAGCTAATTTGTGACTTCCTTTCCAAAACAGGAAGAAATGGAGCTGCGATACTTTCCCCAAAAGGAAAATGAAACTCGTGGCAGAAGACAAGCTTCCTACCCCAGTATGAACCTCTAGCAAAGGGCCACCGAAGCTCATGGAGCTGGAAGCAGCTTGCTAATAAGAGGTGGGAGATTCTTCTCCAGTTGTCATTAAAATCCAAATTGGAGAAGGCTTTTGTGCCTGGAGGGGGGCACCCAGGAAAACATCCCTTAGAGGGAAGACTGTGGAATTGCTTCCTCCACATTTCACAGATGCTCAGGAGACTGGCATTCCATCATCTGCTCTGAAAGAATGGGACTTTTTAAAGGATGTATGAGAATTTTGTGCCACTTGCACAAATGTGCCTTTGTGCTCATCCATGAGCACAATGCCTATTTGTGCAAATCCTCACCTCCAGCCAAATTAAAAACATGAATAAAGTCTGCAAGTTCAGAGAACACACATGACTCAGAAAATGCTGGCCTGCCGCAGAATTCACAGATCCTATTAGCAGAGATACAAAGTCAGCATCCCTAGTTTCCTGCCACCTCCTTGAGGGATATTTCCTTGCCACAGTGCATAAGCACCTGGGGTATTCTGGGACTGCAGCAGTGGACAAATGACAGTTGTAAAGTTTAAGCCTAAAAAACAAACCAGATCAAAAGGCCACCATATAGTACAATCATCGTTTGAGACTCTCTGCCAAGAGCTTTCCTATGAGGAAGGTTTGGAGATGACAAGGGAGGGTTTCTTTGGTAGTAGCTCCCCAAGTGTGGACCATCCTGCCCAGTGAGGCTCAGCTGGTGCCAACCATATCATCTTTCCAGCACTGGGTTAAGGCCTTCCGCTAGACATGAGAGACAGGGCCTTCTTAGCAGTAGCCCCGATTTGGCCCACTTTCCCCAGCAAGGTCTGCCTGGTGCCAGGACTGCCATTTTTTCAGCAAGTGGTTAAGACTCCCCTCTAGTCCCACATTTATGACAACATAGGACAATGTTTTTAATGGTTGTCCTGAGACTTATGAATGTTTATGTATTGTACGAAGACCATTCTTCATTACATTATATTGTATTCTTATAGTTGTTTTTAAAGCTACCCAGACAGCTTTGGCTTTTGGGCAGTATTGAAAGGATAGGAAGAAATGAAATGAACTGCAAATATGGATGAACTGTTTTGTACACA